TTTGCGATTGAAGTGGCACGCCTTGAAAATGTATATGCAGCTGCTTGGTTAAAGGACCCTTCTTAGCTCGACAAATACTTAAAGCAATTCAGAGATGTGTCTGCCTGCAGGAATTTCAAGAATTTTTATTTATTTATTATTCTGTTTCATGTATATATAAGAAAATGCAAATAATTGTAAAGAAGCCTCGTCATAAATGTTTTCCTTGAATAATTATATATTTAAAATAGTAAAAATGCTCAACTCAAAAGGGCCCGACTGGAAGATACTGCATAATATATTCATCTTTGTGGGCGAAACCATGATGGATTTTTGCATTTCGTAGGGAAGAGTTTATTGCTGTGGAAAGCTTGAAAACAACCCCAAAAGTTATTTTCAATCGAAAATGGCTTTTTAAAAATGTAAATGCAGTATTAATCTCAAATCTGGCCGTGATTATAAATCCATTCCATAATGAAAATCGGTGAAATACTTTCCCAGCATGGGAAAGGTAACCATTTTATTGAATGCCAAATGGAAATTTCCCTCTCTTGTAGCGTAATATGCAAATTTGGTAATTTGGTATTTTATTACTTGGGTACTCATCAAATTTCAAATCAGTTATTTGAATAAGTCAATATCGAAGGTCGACCCATGAATAGCGTCTCGCAGCTGCTAAGTGAATTGAACAGTTCGTGCTGCTCCACTAGAAAAGGACTCCTCGATTGGGAAGGACCCATATAAAGGCAGCACATCATACATCAATCCTTGAGAGGAGACCCACGTCTTTGGTGCCCAGCTGCAAATAGTTGAAGCCGCTTAGGCACGAATTTCTATTAAAATATTTATGCAAAAAGCTGCGAGGCGACAATTTAAGCCAGCTTTGAAAGCTGAAAAGGTCTCTCAGTCTCGTTCTCTCTACGTCTGTGTGTGTGTATGAAATTTCAGCAAACGATTTTCATAATCGATTTTCACTGCCTCCTCAATGACTGTTGACAACACAGCATACAGCAGATTGGGTGTTAGATTTTACGATGGGTGCGGAGTAGACGCTTGTCAACCTTTATCAAAAAAAAAGAGAAAAAAAAGAAAAGGATATACTTGTGCAAGAGGCACTCGAGCGGTGTTGAGAATGAGAGGCCAGACAGTAAAGCCGAGACAAATGCGACATGCGTCTGTTGACAATATATCAACATGTGGAATGCGGGCGGATGGTGGGCGGACAGACACACTGACTGTCCTTGGCTGCTAAAAAAAATAATATATAGATATATATATATATATGCAAAAGACAAGAAGCCGACTTTACAATTTTTCTACTTGACTTTGGCTTTTCTGCCCCCTCTGGATATTTCCCTGTTATTGATGTTGTTACTGCTGTTGTTGTTGTTGTTGTTATTGTTGTTTTCTGTATGCCGCCAGGTCAAGTAATCTTTATGGTATGACGTGTCTGATGCTTCTGCTGTGCGGGCTACTGTTTCTACACTTAAACAAAAAATTGCTTAGAGTCAGTTATTAATGTATTTATTTAAAAAAATAGATACTGTTTTTTTTTTGTTATTGTAAAGTGTCCAGCATTTCAACATCCAATGTCTCAAGTAGTAAGTGTTTAGTGTTAGTTTGAGTGAGTCCTTGGTTGTCAATCAATTACTAACCTCAGCAACATACGGTTATTGCTTCTTTTAAAAAAGATAAGTAACAAAACTGACCCAGTTTTGGAAATATCTAAAATTTAATAAAGAATTTTTCTTTATTTTAAGACAAGTTTTTCTATGAGTGTACAACGATTGTCGTTGCTCCAATCGTTGGCCATTTGAAGTCAGCAAAGCGCGTCTAATCGATGAGCCTGGCTAGTCTGCCAGAGCAGGGATACGTTGGGGGTTAGGTTGGAGGTCTAACTCCCTGTCTTTATCATTGCTTGTACTGTGTTTTTTTCTTCTTCCATCTGCGCAATGTGTCTCTAACCCGTCTAGTGGGCGTATCGTATGTGACAATAGTTTTGTGAACATTCCCCCCTTAGCTGGAAGATTAAGAACAGATACAAGGAGTGAAGGCTTTAAACATGTTAAACACACCAGTTGCGTTAAAGTAGTGTATAAATCACAGTCTATGCCTGTGCATGGGTGCAAAGAGCTCGAGCTGAGTGATAGATGGTCTATGTTTGGGGCTGGTGAAGGGACTGTCGGCAGCTATGGTCAGACGTACATCCTTTAAATGTGAAATGTGAAAAGTGGAAAGTGCATAGAGTGAAAGCACTACTCAAATCAGTAAACAAAACACTAGACTTAAAAATGTATTGCGAAAAAGGTAGAGCCTGAAGGAGAAGTGAATTGATATGCACTTCGTTTAATAGGCAGTTGAAAGCTTTCTGGGTGCAAAAAACAACCAACCATCAATATTCCGCATTAAGGAATTGGAAATGGTTTTATGGAAATAGGTAAAATAAAGACAAGAGAGTAAAATAAATAATACAAAGCGTACACAACAAATATACGCACAACAATTTAAAAATATTTTAATGAATGGAAATTGAAAAGCAAACAAATTTTACAAATGATCTTTAATTGATTTGTGGTTTGTTACAGAATTTCTTAAGAAAGTTTTTTGAAACTTTTGTACTGGAAATGTAATTATTTGTTTGCCTTATTTGGCTCGAAAATGAATAAAAATAAATATTAATATTATACGAAATCTTTAATGTTTTTCCGTAAATTCTTTTGAGGCTGTCAGTGTCGTTAATTTTGATTAATGTCCCGAGTATTCGAGAAGAACACAAGCAGCGATTTTCCAGATACGAATTGTGGTTCCGTGAACTGTCCTTGGCACACTGCTAATTACCAAAAGTGAAGCTAGCCATTGTGTTGCTTATCTTTTGACAGCCTGCCACATAGACTGAGAAATGTACTTATTCCATAATGAAACGTTGATACATTAAACAGATTTATTATGCTTTGCCTTCATTGTCGACTTTTGGCACAACTACACCCCACCCACCGCCAGCTCTCTCCAGCTCTCTCTAGCTCTACACCCTTCAGTTGGCAGCCATTTTATATGAAATGCTGTTTCCACTGCAAATAAATGGCTGACAACCTCCATTTAGCCCCTCTCCTTCGGCTCTGCTCTGGCGCGTGCTGTGCTCGTGGCTTTTAGGGGCCAACGACGATGTCGACTTGTGGTTTGGTGGTTTTGGCTGGGTAGCTGGGTAACTGGGTAGCTGGGTGGCTGGGTAGCTCTGTGGGTCGGCCACCGCCTGCAGCTAAGCGCATTGCGTTTGTCAAATTTTGACGAGCTCTCCGTCTATTGATTCGCCCAGCTCTTTGAAATCTATCTGCCTGCGGCTGGCTTAGTGTGGTGTCCTTAAGCTAAATTAAAGCATATATAACATTTCCATTAAGCCTTTGATGTCAGCCTTGCCTCAAACTGATTAAGTTGTACATTTAATTATAGTGGCAATGTAATTCCGGAGTTAACAAAGTTAATGTATCAAAGAGCTGAACTTTGAGAAAGCCGATACTCAGCCTTAAATCACGTTGAGTAATAATGTGTTTGATTGAGTGAAATTAGTTAAAGTTTGGTCGAACCTTTAAAATCTTTTGATGAAGAAAAACGTTTGAGAATCTACAATTAATCATTTAATTTCTTACGGGTTTTTCTTATTTTTATATATTGTATTTTGAAATTTAGAAATTTATAAAGCTTCTTTCTCTTCAACCCAAGTTGTCATCAAGTTCAAAAGAGTCCTAGAACCTCCTAGCTAACAAGGTAAAAAAAAATACCCGATTGGCATTCATAATTTAACTGAATGTTGGCAATTGTTGGCGACCACACTGACGAGCACTAATTTGCAACCCAGTCCCGAAATCAAGGATGTCCCAAAAGAAACGCCGAACAATCAACGGAAACGCCGCAGAGCACAAATATGTTGGTCACGTAACCACTTTGTTTGTGTCCAAAGACAAAGCAGGAATTCCTGCGACAAGCAACTTATGATTAAGAATAATTCAATGCTGACCAAAAAAAGAAGAAAAAGAATACTCTAAGGCTATGTATAGAGGACATTCCCGATCCTATCAAGACAATAAGTACATATATTGATTATAAAGAACTCTGATACTAAAATTAAATGAAGCCACATCAAGTTTGTTTTACATGGCTGATGCTATTCATCAGAAAACTGATTATGATCTATCAACTTACTAATTGTGCAAGATTGAAAAACAATTCAAAAGTTCTTACCATTTGGATAATCATTCTAAACTTCGAAAACTTACAGAAAATGTGTTTTGAGTTGAAAGCTGATTAATGGGTTCAGCTCAGGCGTGTAACGAAAATAACAAAATTCGACTTAAGGTTGAATCCATAAAGTTACTAATTTATATCGTTTGCTCTAAGTAAGCTCATAGTTGAGCAACAGAACTACAGAACATTTGTGCTTGCTTTGCATTACAGTCAACAGCCTGAGCGTGGAACAAACTTGCAATACGCCTGGCTGGCCAATTTCATAAGAAAACCATTCAAAAACAACAACGACTCAAAGCTCGAGACTCGAGTCGACTCCGTGCTCAAAATTTTACGCGCGTTGACTGCTGAAGTGGTGCTAGGGGCATGCGGTGGTGGTGGTGTGGGTGGTGCTCTGAGTTGTGGGTGCTGGTAGGTGAGCGGGTGAGTGGAGACGTGAGCAACACGGAGGTCCCGTCCATGGCCTTTGTTAGATTTAGCGACGACAACGGTCGACGATTGCGTCTTTTGCATTTTGGCAGCTGGGCGTGGAGGGGTGGGGTGGTGTGGGAGGAGGTGGCAGTGGGTCGGGGTCGGGGGGTTGGGGAGTCTGACAGCCAGACTGAGAATTACAAATTCAGCACAATGTCCCTTTGTCATTTATGCATTCGCTGTATAAATTAGGCACAATGAATTTTCAGCGCTTGTGGTACTGGTTGTGCTCTGGTCTTAATAAGCTAACTTGATTATGTCTTTATTCTTTTTTTGTTGTTCTTCATACTTGCAGGCGGCAGTGGCAGCGGTGGCGGCGGTGGTGGCGGTGGTGGTGGCAGCTCCTCGGACATCTCCAAAGATCATTGCAATAAAACGGTGGACATATTCGAGGATATCAGCTCGCCGGAGGTCAGCAATCAGAATTTGGGACGTCCCTTGACCTGCTGGTATCGTTTTCGCACCCTCAAGGGTGCACCTCGCGACTTTGTGCTCCGGCTGCGTTTCAAGAAGTTCAAAGTGGGACAACTGCTCAATGCCACCCACTGCGATGGCGGCTATTTGCAGGTGAGTGTGACCATCGCACACAAATTGCAACCACAACGCCCCAAAAAGCGGCGTCTGATTTATGGGCATCGTTGCAATCAAATCTAATTTATAACCTTTGCCTCGCCTAAATGATGACATATGCAGCCACGTAATTCATACGTCGCGTTGCGTGCACCGCATCAGCTGACAGCTTTATGGGCGCAGGGCAGCGTTGCAAGCGCCATCGAACACAATTCGCGCTCGCCTCGCAATTTATGTGGCGACTGTTATCCTTGCTTATCATTTGATTTGACTTTATGTGGCATTCATTTTACTGTTGCTATTGTTGTTGTCCATATTCGCAGATTGTTGATGGCAATGCTAAAACAGACGTTTCCAATCGCCGGGAGCCGGGCATGTTCTGCGGCGAAGCCGAACAGCCGCAAACCTTCATCAGCGAGACGAGCTACGTGAAGGTCCTTTTCCACACGGACAACTTTACGGATCAGGTGAGTTCGAGAGCAATTAACAAGCTTCAGCGTTAATTTACAGGGTATACGCAAAGAGTGTGCTGTTAAATTCAGCGCAGAAAATCGTTTGATCGCGCTAATATCACATAATCAATGAAGGTCAGTTTCTTGCACATTGAGATGGTTTCAGTCAGGAATGTTTGAAAAGTTGAATATAATTGAGTGGAAATAACACTGAAAAATTGTAAGGAACAAACAACTGTACTGAACTGTAAAAGAATCATAATTCAAACATAAATCTTTAGTTCTTTCCCTGCTTCAACTATATCCTTGTACTTTATGTTTTGGCATCGCAGCAGGGAGTGTGTTCACACTTAGCCTGTCATTTTTATCAACACCTGGCCACCTGAACATAGCCTTCATTTATAACAAACCCCGGAGACTTCCAATTACAGTAAAAAGTCTCTATTCCAGTTTCTAGCATCTTCGGCTTGCAGACGCCAACGCACTTACACTAATAAACCGTAGCATCCTACAATCTGCCCACCGGGTCTTCATGGCACATGTGTCACGTAGCCTCCCAACTTCGACCTTATCCGTATCCTCACAGGCGTCCCATATTCTGCTCGCATATATACATCTATTTATATTTATCACATAATTTAAAGAAAATATTACTACACACAAGTCTTGGCTGTCATCGTCTCCAGCTGCCACCATCATATTCTACATATTTCTATACCCTGTAGCAAACAGCATATGGGCTAAAAAGATATATGATTTTAGCTGACCTGGAGACAAGTGCTTATCTTATATATATTTCGAAACCCATCGGGAATCGTCTAGAGATAGATATTTACAGCGTGGATCTATCTCATCTAGTCAACAAGCCAAAGCAGACAAGCCGAGCACTCTTCGCTGGAGACCTTTTGCTTTTGTCCTTATTAAAGCGTTGTTGATTGGCATTCATTAATTTGTATACTTCTGCAATGGAAGTCAAAAGGTAATCACAAAAATAAAGTGTCTAGTAGAGGGTTTGTAACCTCGATGCTTTGCATACGAATATTGGGAAAGCATCAGAGCTACTAATTGAAAATCCAGCAAAATAGTTAAAGAAGTTTTGTGAACGATAATCAAACGCAGAAGTTTTCCGAACAAGTAAAGCACCAAGTATCTGCCTGCCATTGGATTCGATTACAAAGCAAACAGTATAATTTATATTATCTGAAAATCTTTCTTTATAAATAGTGTTAAAATCTATCTAAGTTCTTAAATTATATATGAAGGATGTCTTCTAGTCGGGCAGTGCCTGCTAAATTGTTTTATTTTGATTTTGTTTGTACGGTATCTGTATCATTTTTGCTGGCATCGTTTGCTTTGGCTGTGACCCATGTTGCTCTATCTGCTTTGCTGCATCTATGCAACTCACTTTCGCACTTAGCTTTCTATATACATATAACATACATACATATGTATATACCTATATACAAAACAAGCTTACACATTTGTATATAGTATATGTATATTCATATATATTTTTGTATGCATTATTCAGCGTCGTACGTCTGTGGGAAGTGGACGAGTGGGCGTCGTCTCCTGACTGCCGTCTGTCTGCCTGTTGTCTGTCTGTCTGTCTGTCTGCCAGTTTGTCTCCTGTCTCTGCATCCTTTTTGGACTGGCTGGCTGGCGACTCGTTGCCGGTTACAGGTTTTATATGTGAAAATGCCGTTCACAACTTGAATTCTATTTTGCTGCATGGAAGTCGCCTTTTCCCACTAGATGTTTTCGCTCTTTTCTATTCATTTTTTTTTTTTCACATGCGCTTCTGCATTTTTGATGCGGTACTTGCATTCACAAAATGAGAGATAAGATCATTATGTCACATAAGAAATTTTAATATTTATAAGTACTTTTTTTCTACATTTTTGGTTGCTGATAACTTATTCGTAGCCGATTTTAACTAGAGGAAAAAATCATTAGTTTTTGTAGTACATATTTCAATATTAATATCTGTTCTGTTTGTAAATTTAAGATTGTCTCATTATTACGGGTTTTTTTTAATTTTTTATTATTTAAATGCACTATTTGAAAAGTATTTAAAAACTCACTTATAAATTTTAAGCATAATTTACTTTTATTCGTGTTGATCTTTAATCAGCCTTTTTATTTTGGTATCTCAGATCTAAATTTGCTTTCCTGCATTAATCTTTTCCAAGCAAACAATTTTGCCAATCTGTGTCTCGAATGGCTTTTGGCTGTCAGGGAAGTCGATTTCATTATTGCCTCGTTGTTCGTTATTCGATGTTTGCTTCCTGGCTTAACGTCATGGTGCAGCTTTCAAGTTGCATGCGGCACAAACACTACACAAAAATACACTAATGACATGTACGAGTGTTCGATGTAGGAGATACACTCTCAGCTGCAGAGCTACTGCTCCTGCCCTCCAGACTGTCTTATGCACACCTTAATGGAGTCATAAATATTTATGAAAACTCGACCCCAGCCCGGTTCTCCACTAGCAGACAGACAGTTCAGGAGTTTGCCAGCGAGTTGCAAGTTGCGAGTTAACAACGCTTTTGTTTTTCGCCACGCAGATTTGCCCGCAGTTTTCTTCGTCGCCTCCACAATTTTTGCCACTTATTCTGCGCGAGCGCGCTGAAAAATCTATTCAGCGGGGTTAGCGGGAAGTGGCATCGTCCTTGATAATAAATAAGAAAAATAACAGAGAGCTGGCATATAATAAGTAATAACTTTGCCACGTACACAATTTAATGAGCAGCAAAAGCAAAATTGCAAATAGTAAAATATCGAGTGGATAAAGTAAATTCGCCTTAACATGAAACTCAACGGGAATAAATCAAATATAATTTGCACAAATTCTTACACAGGCAATAACAGAAACAAAAGCCCAAAGGATACACAAGCGAAATCTGATTGATTTTTAATTTATTCGAGCACGAATTTGACTGGTTATTAAAAGCAGAAACCGGAATGTTGCCATGGCGATAGTGCTCAGCTACGCCGCATTGGCATCATCATCAGCATTCCCGTCCGCATTGGCATCAGCATCAGCATCAGCATTGGCAGTATACATCGTCAGCGCTTCAAAAATATTCAATGCATTTAAAGTCACATAATGCGGCAAATATGACCTGGGAATGCACATTTTTGCCTCACACTGCACATTTGACAGGCGACGGGGCGTGCCTGTGACTGTGTCCGTGCCGACCTGTCTGCTGGACTGGGATGCTAGACTGCTGGCCTGCTGGTCAGACACTCTGCCAGTCGTCTGTGAGGCTTGCCTGTCGGCCATTGTTCACAGCGTTAAGTGGCGCTAACGTCATTGACGCCGGTAACGCATTTAATATTGACATGTGCATTACGCTCACGCAATCGGAGCTGCAGCCAGAAAGAAGTCAATACGGGTATTCCGATGGATTCTGCTGCTGCTGAATATAATGATTTATCAGTTTGGTTTGCTTGTCGGGGCTCAGCCTTTTGGAATATAATCGTAGTTATGGGGCAAAAAGATATGACTTTAAGTAAAATAATATTGAAAATAACGATTTATTTGTATCTATAAATAAATTATTGATAAAGTAAAGCGAATACTTAAACTAATGAATATTTGGGTATATCGGTAGACATTTACATGGCATTAAATGTAAACTTAAACTAACAAATTAAATTATGTCAGCATTTAAAAGAAGTAATTAAATTTAAAGTTAAAAAAATATACATATAATTAAATAATCTATGAAAATTAAAATATAAAATAGTCCAACATTTATTACAAGGATTTGATCTGGAAACTCTAAATGAGGAAAAGAATGTGATTAATATTTCAAATTATTTTCTAAATAATTTAAAGGAGTCACAGCTGTATAGGGCATTGAATTAAAGCTTCGCTCACAATAAATTGAAGTCAGCCATCCGTTCGACAGCGATTTCCCACTGGGCTGTTTCCACCCTTAGACAGCAGCATTGGCTACGTCATTGCAGCAGGTCATTAGTGTTGATGAGGTCTAGTCTGGTGCAGAAATGGGGCCACATAATGTGGTAGAGTAAAGTGGGCGACTACGAGTACGAGTGGAAAACCCGGTTTCGTGAACAGCCGTGAAACGCGTCGAGCTTGGCAAACAACCGCATGGACAAAAATGCAATGACTTCATGTCACCTGGCTGTTTAATACACCATATCGAGCGGATTAGGGTAATAGTTAGGAAAGAGCAGAGCCTCAACTTGACTCGGTCAACAATGCGAGTACGTGATTTGCGTAGCGTGGGCCAAACAAAAGCAACAACCAACAAAAACAAACAAAAATACCCCCCACAAACAATAACAATGCATTGAATTTCAACTCACTTAGTGAACTTGTTCTTGTTTCTCATTGCAGACCTACTTCACATTCGATTCACGCGCCGAACAACAAACTGAAGTCTATTTGCGATATGGCCAACATCCCGAATTATATCCAAATCGTCGCGGCGAAGTTGTCCAAGGGTGCGTATACGTAATGTACAAATACACAAAAGGAGAGCATCAGCATCAGCAATGAACAACTGCCCGCTGTGCTCCATGCTTATCGATAATGTTTAGCGCCTTTGTGTCCCGTTTTTATGGCCGCGGCCTGTGGGCGATGGTCGGATTGGCAAAAGGGGCGTGGTTGACAACAGACAGTTACTAGTTTGTAGTCAGCAATGCGTTAATTTAATTTTATTATGCTGCACGCAACTTGAGTGTTTTTTGAAGGGGACGCACAATGCGCACTGACGATGTCTTTGACAATTTTGTGGAACTGCCCCAAAAGAGAACATTTCATAATCATATGCGAAAGACTGGCGTACAATGGGGAATGGGGAGGAGAATGCTGGGTAATGCGGTAACAGAAGGTCGTATAAAATTGAATTACAATTTGCCAGTCAAAGGGAAAGAGATAGAGCAAACATCGTGACAAAGTAATCTGGGAGAAGGAGAAAGCACTGCGGCAACATAAACTCGCGAAAAATGTACATATAGAGAGAGATAGAGAGATAAAGAGAGAGAGAGAGGGAGAGGGAGACAGAGACAGCAAGGACCAAAACGAGCATTCAGTTATCCCTAAAACTTTGCAGACATTAAATTTCATTTGATTTGATTTTTTTTTTCTTAATTTTTTTCGTAAGCGTCTAACTTTTATCTTAATAAAATAAGTTGCAAGTTTTGAGCATTGGTTGAAATCATTCCACAGACGACTGTGTGCAGAGTGCGAATTGTGTGCAGAGGCACTGTAGATATTAAATATGCTTCGTTGAGCCTATTGCTATTGTGAAACTTTTGTGATGGGCATTTTTGAAATTTAAATTTAAAATTGAGCTAAGGATAGATTAAAATTAAAATGAAAGATACAGTTCTTAAGTTCACGCATTTGTATGTATTTGAACGAATAAAGTAATAAATAAAATAAAGCAAAGATATATTTACACTAATGTTGATTTCATTCACTACAAAAATTAAATTACTTCAATAATTTAAAATAGATTGCAGTGCCTTAACTTTCCATTTATAAAATAGGCACTTTGATTCAACTTGATGCCAGGCAATCTGCTCACTTTCATCAATCTAATTCATCTGTTTTAGCAGAGGCTCAAAATATAATAAAAATGGAGCACTTTAAGCACTTTAACCAACCAAAAGCAGCCATCATTCGTACACCAAACTGTTAAGATTGCTGCAATTTCCAAAGCCAATAGCAGCCCACATGGCCAATATGATTTTTATGCTAATTTGTGGTCACGCGCATCGACATCGACGCTGAAACAGACCCAAAACCAATTCAAACCTACCACAAAACAAGTATGACCTATCTAGTAGAGGGTGCGTGACTAGAAGATACTCTCTATATAGACAATAATGGATTGTATACATAGATAAACGGATCAATTTCATTTTGCTCTTTACGACTGTCAAAAGTTTCTTGTATAACTGTTATGTTTATTATCAGGATAATAGATATATATACACATACAAGATAAGATATATCAATTAGCTATGTTATGCTTAAAATACCCAATTGACGAGAGTTTTTTACTACAGAGTATCGATATTCAAACGGAAATCAACTGAACCCAAATGAAAGGCAAATTTCCAAGAGCAATAAGAAGAGAAGAAAAAAATAATAATAATAGAAATTTAGTGTGCAAATAAAATGGGAAATGGTAATCATATTTGTGCAAGCATCAAGTTCGGATTTGCTCAGCCCTGACAACCCTGGCAATGCGTTTGTTTGACTTGAACAAATTGAAAATTATACGCACGGCTCTCCTTACAACAATTTTACAGTTGTTCTTGTAATTCAACAACAAATTTTACAAGGTTCTCTCGGGGTACACAGCGCACAAGAAATTCCAAATCACTGAACACAATTTTCTGCTTTTGTTATTTCGTTGTTCGCTGGGCTGCCAGCGATTAATTCGTTGGATTTGTGCCCAAGAGGAAGAAAGCAGGAATTGAAGCGGGAACAAGACAGATCTTAGGCTAAAAGGATTGGAGACATTTATTGGTTGGACAGAGACACAACCAAAAGGGTCCTCAAATAGAAAACTAATTGAATTTAATTACAAAAATACTATATAAAATATATTTATATATATTACTTTACAGATCCTACTGCGAGCGTGAGTATCGTGATTGCCGCCTGCAGACCTGCTATGTACAGTCCCCCGCATATCCGGGCCTGTATCCCCGGGCTCTCAACTGCCGTTACAAATTGCACACCCGTCAGCCGTACATCAAATTATATCTGCAGAACGAACAGTTCGCGGTCGATGGCCAAAGGTAAGCAAATCAGCTCAGACAGATCCAACCAGCCACCCAATATATGCAAATGCAAATTGCCGAGAGAAATTAACGACAAGTTAACACCCTGTAATTTGTCATCTTGGCACAGCGACATCGACTGCAATTCCAAATTTCAAATATATATATATATTTTTTTACATTTTTCTGTCGTCTATGTTTTTTTTTCTCTTTTTTTTTTTTTTTTTTTTTGACAGTCAACATTTCGTGTGGTAGTTGTCGCTGTTGGTGTTGTTGCTGCTATTGTTGAAATGCATTTGGCATGCTGACAATGACAATTTGACACAGCGTCCTGGAAAAATTGGCACCAATTTCGTGGAAAATATCACAGACCAAACGCCCCCTTACCCCAACCCCCCAAACCCCCCCAATCCCAATCCCAATTTTCATTTCCATATTACTGCAACCATCGGAATTACAATCCCCAACAATGTCCTGTCCTGACTGCTTTCTGCCATTGGCTTGCACTTGGGCTGGCTGCATTCAAATTGGCTAAAGGATTACGTTTTGACTGATTTTCAAAGAAAGCAGAAAGAAAGCACATTTACAGTTGGTCACGTAATGAGCATCGCATAAAATCGGTGTGAAAGACTGAAATTCTAGTTGATGATAATATTTATTATTATTATTATTATTATTATTATTATTTTTTATATATTCTTTTGATCTGTTGGTTCTTTTAGTTGTACATTTTATTCAAAATTTAATACATCGTTTTACACTATTCAAGTCAAATTCCATTGTATAGAAATTTATATGCACATTGCATATTTTACGTATTTATATTATTCAAATCGCAGCACAGTGAACTTTATGGGAAGAAGAGAAAAACAGTTTTTGAGTTTTCAGTTGAACGTTTCATAGCTTTGGGTTAAGCCATTCACATGAAAAAGTAAAGTGCGAAATCCGAGGGAAATCTCTTTGGAGTATTACAAACTCCGTGGGGACATTTACAACTGCCAGCTGTGTTTTGGGCTTAAATCAGAGCATAAATATTTTATGTAGCTAAAGGGTTCAACAAAGCGTACCCTTGAATTCACCTGAGCTATCTGCAGCTGAATTATAATTTACATTTTGTCCATTCGCTGACCTTTCACAAACGCAGCAACCAATTATTAAAAAAAAAAAACTCATTTCACTTCAACGAATTCTGGGGTCAGGGAAATGAAGCAGCTTCTTAAATCGCTTGAATTGCGTAATAAAAGCGAGTTTTTAGCTCTTGATGTTGGTCTTAACACTTCTGCGAAGACACTTTCCAAATGGGCAGTCAAAAGTGTCTAAGTATCTTAAAGCTTGTTTGAAGTGCAAATGCCAGTCAGCATATTTCAGGTGACTATCTTGCAGAACTTCGCCAGTACGTGCACATCAACTGGCGCTTTCGAGCTGAAATTAGATAAGCAACATTCAATTTATTTTTATAGATTCAATTTGAATATTTACCTTTTGAGCGCCGTAAAGTCCGGACAGGCACGAGCCACGTCAAAGTGCCAACTTTGACAGCACAAGAGCGAAGCTAAGAGTTTAAAACGCTTGTGCGGATCTGACAGTTTAACTGGGAACGGGTAATGGGGGTGCAGGGGTAGTTGGATGGTTTGGGGAGGTATAGCCCATTTCGGACTAGTTGAAAATCCGCTTTAAGTGCGTATTAATTTGCAAGTCTAAGTTAGTTCCCCCATGTCAATGGAGAAACGGGTCAGCAGCAGCAGTAGCAGCAGCAGCAGCAATAGCAGTAGCAGGAGGCGTGCCAAAAAGGATTAGTTAAACAGAAACGCTACAAACGAGCTAATCGCTGGGTGTATAGATGGCTGATGGGAGAGGCAAGTTAATCGAATGTTTTTCACAAAGGGTTTCAATGCTGCAATGCCATTAATGATGTTTAGTTTGGGGCGGGTTGTTTGTGTTTGGCTTGGGTTCGTTTGGGGTTACAAACAGGACAAAATACTTGAAGTATTCAGTCAAAGTGTTTGGCAAAGTAATCCCAAAGTTAAACGCACAGCAGGGGTATTAATTAGAGATTACAAAATAGATGGCAGACGGTTCCAATGGAAGTACATTTTTGTGGGATTATAATGAAAATCTATGTGAGACATGAAAGATTTGATAAGAAAGATATATTCTTATTCGACAATAATATTAAAAGTTAAAGATGAGAGGCAAATTGTAATCCAAGCAGTTAAAATATATTTCAAACAGTTACAGTTAAATCTTTCATGAATTGCTAAAGCAAATACAATTCGAAGAAACCTGATGGCATTTTGTATTCATTTATTTCATTGCTTTTCTGTACATCCCTTAAAATCCCTTATGCTGAAGTGTTTCAAATGCATTGAGCTACAAAAGCTCCTTGCGAAATGTGTTTTCTTTTGTGGCATACCGTGGAATATTGATTATTATCACTCCCGTTTCGCTCTGCCTGTGGGTAGGGAATGCAAATACCTCTAAGCAAGCTCGATTTAGTTAATTATGCCTTCGGGGTATTACTAATATTTACAACCAATCACCATAATCCATCTAAGCTTTGCACAAAGCCCAATCAAATCCAGTTCATAAAACACTCATGCGTCTCTGTTGCGATTCTAGTTTCATTATCAGAGCATAGTGGACCTGTCCAAACAGATGTACATATAGTATATATATATATATATGTATTTGTGTAGGCGTATGTGGTTATTTTGCCAAGTCAGCGGCAACTTTGCCATTGCTCCTTTATAAATCAGCTGAGTTTATTTTGATGGCGATGCTCCTTTGGCTGCCAATGTTCCAAAACATTTTTCTAATTTCTGCCTGGCAAACACCGAAAATATTTTGCCAACGTGGCATTTTTCCACAAAGCACAACACAAACTCACACACACAACAAACTTTAGTGAAACTTTTTTCAGGGCAAAATAAATGCAAAAGTCATCGAGAAAAAAGTTTTTTAATATGCCGAAATTATTACCAGTCAGTTATTTTTGATATGTCTGTTGGCCAAAACTTTCGCCAGACACCAAGTTTATGTCTCTCTTTCTCTATCTAGCCCTCTCTCCTCGTCTCTTTCACTCTACACCGTTTATATCTTTCGCGAAAAAAAAAGTAAAAATAATCAACTTTTTGCCCTACGCATTTATTATCAATAAGTTAGATTAGGTTCCCCAAAAGCTGAGCAGCGGAAAGAGAGGCAAGGAAAAACTTGCTGACAAAGTGATTAAATTGACTGAAACGAGAGAGAGAGAGAGCCGTACCGAACAACTGCCCGGCTAATAGATACAGATACGAATAGATCCCAAACTTTGGGTCAAAAAGTTTTTCTTCAGAAAAGTTTTTCATCCGCTAGTCAAAGGCTCAATAAAATGTCAATTAAATTGGCATTTTTTGTTACAATTTCAAATCACTCGGCATCAGCCTTCAGCATTTGTCGGCCCGCATTTGATTAAAGTCCAGGGTCGTAATTGCCAAAGTTAGCTTTCAATTAGAAAGTTCACACAAGCACACTCACTCACACACACACACACACACACAGATACACACACACACTGTCAGGTGAAAAAGCATTTCGTTTGCCTTTTGAATTGGCATGAAATTCTCCGCCTTCTGGCAAATTGTATTGCCAACAAATGGATGAAAAAAGGCCAGCCGGTTTTCAGACCTCATCAATGGGCCAAAAACTAAGCGAATCGCTGCACAAAGGTCACTTTGTCTGGGCAATCTACTCAGGGTTATGCCAAAGGAAAAAGATGGCAAAAAAATGTTAGAAAATGCTTCAGAACAGACGGTTTGGTTTGAATGTTGGTTTTTTTTTTGTTAATTCGCTGCCCAAGTGCAAATGAATGTCATTGTCAGTGGCGTAGTAAAAGGGGTAAATTGGATATTGGATAAATAAAATTCCTTTGTCACAAGTGCTAATTGAATTAAAATTTATTATCAATATATTTTTTTTTTTAAATATGACTCAAACACTTTCATTATAGTTTTTTATTTTTTTTATTAACTCTTTGCTGCATATTTTTGCACTAAAAGCTGTTATTCATTCAATTTCAGACTGTGCTTTTTTGCTGCATTTTCATTTTCATATTTTATTGTCAGGTATTTTCACTTGAAATTCTGCCGCATGCGCCCTGTAGTTGTTGAATTTGTATGCAGTTGACGGCTGAGTGAGGGAATAAATTTAATTGGCGACCTCTTACGCGCTCAAAAGTGAAATAAGTGTAATTTAAAGAGAGATAATCCATCTTTCAATTTAGCTTTAACACGTTTAACCGTCAACATTCATCACTTTTCCTGCATATTTTGCAAACTCTTTACAGATGCGAGAACGTGATGACTTGCCCCATAAGGCCGATAGGGTCTGGTAACGAGCATTGCCCATACGATTGGTTGGCCGTCTATGATGGTCGCGATGAGCATTCACCGCTGATAGGCAAATTCTGCGGCCTGGGCAAGTTTCCATTCAGCATCATTGGTAAGTACAAAGCGAAAACTGGCTGGATGATGATAACCCAATACGATTACTGCCACTATCCAATTTGCCTCGCAGGCACATCACAATACATGTACGTGGAGTTTGTTACATCACCGGCGGGTCCACTGTTAAATACAGGCTTTCATTTCAATGTTGGCAACTGGCCAGGACATGTGGAGACTGCCGGGATAAAGCACGGTGTGTGTGACTGGTTGCTTAGCTCCGATTCGCTAAAGGATAGCAGCGCCAGTGAGGGCATCTTCCTTAGCATTGCCCACTGGTATCCACCGAACACCTCCTGCAGTTACCACATCAAAGGACATCCCGGCGAAATCGTGCGACTCTATTTTCCCAGGTTAGCAATTAGCCGCGATTTATTATTTTTCTAGTTTACCATCTTAAATCAAAACTGACCGCAAATTCTCGATTGAAAGCTATGCAACTTGAGTAGAGGCCTAAGGTGCCTTGATTAATCATGTTGCCGACTGTCATTTTAATTGAAGATATACCTCAAGGTGTACAGATGTTTTAATTCACATGCTAATGTTTTCTATTCAATTTGCATACATACAAACTAGCACACATCGCCTCCAGTCATAAAGTAGCAAGAATAGTTTTCCGACTAACATTAAATCAGCCATTCGGTCTATTCACATAATTTATGTGGGACCAGTGAGGTTTCCTTCTGCTTGTTAACTGCATTTCCACAATATAATTATAAACATTTTAAATATATTTTATTGTATAACTGATGGTTGTTTAAAATGAGCGTAACTTCAACTTCATTCCTTTTTTATGCTATTTCCATTTACTCTTCACCATTTATTATTTTGAGCCGTCCTTTTGTCAAGTGGTCTGTTTGTCTGCCGCTCGTTGTTTAGTTCTCGACATAACCCTACGAAATCGACATATATATTTATATATATATAAATATAAATATGTATATGTATTTATCTCGACAAGGGGCGTTGTTGTAGTCCGAGAGGTTTGTGTGCAAAATCCATCGCCGTCGTCGACATTTCATTTAAAGTGCAAAGTTTTGCGGCTATGTGGGCGCCTAGCTAACGGTTTTGCATCCTTGCCCCAATCCACCCACAATCCTTGCCCACTCCATTCCACATCACTCCCCTCCACTGAACTCTTTTCTCCTCCAGTTTGAATTTATTTTGGCGCTGCGTTCTATGCTGTAAGCGTATTTTAATGAAATTTGCCGCAAAGATTTATGTGACATTTTAATTTAACGTGTTGAGTTGAAGTTGTTCTTTATATTTTTTATTTTTACTTTATACATCCTGCCGTTGCCCCCACTCCCCATTCCCCATTCCTTATTCCTTCTCAGTTCTGTCGGCGTCGCCGGAGCAGTTGTTTGTGTCTAAATCTGAATCTCTTCTCTGAACTTTCTGCAAGTGTCGCATTGGTCGCTGCATTTTGTGTTTGCGTTTTCTGAATATTCTTCATTGTGGTACGAAAATATTTTATTGATGCTGCGGTTTTTGGCTGGCTTCGGCTCAACTCTACTCTGCAACGGGGCGGGTAGATCAGGGCGGCTTAGTCGCCAAGACGATAGCAAAGTTTTGAAGCCCTGACATTTTGGGGGCACTGATGGCTTGGTTTTCCCAAATTGAATGCTGCCGGAGGGCGTTGCTAAGTAATCATCAGTTTAAATCCAGAAAGGGTTGATAAGCTGCGCTAGAATGTCAATTGATATAAAGACATATTATGCAGTAACAACAGTCAACTCGATGATCCCTTAATGTAATAAAAAGCTATTTGATTTTTTGCCGAAACTTTATCATTTTAACTGAATCGAAAATTCTGTTTTTATATAAGAAAAAACTCGTTGTTTCCATGAGTCAGTTTGAAGAAATTCAAATGCTTTATTATGCTACTTTACAAGCAAAGATATTTCAAATTCCTCACGCCAAACCAATCACTTTTAAAATATATGTATATGTGAATGTCCAAAACACATGACAAATATATACAAATATTTGCCAATTTACCACTTTGCTTCAGTAACTACGTACTTTTCTTGTAAAACTGCAGACATTATTTGCTGTGATCTGCTGCAGCTGAAAATACAGCTGCAGAAGCATTCCAAAGTTAGTCGGAGTGGAACTGCAACTATTTCAGCACATTTGACCATGTTGCAACCTTATAATTTATGCACAAAATGTTGCAAAACATTGCCAAGTTTTGGGCTAAAAACTGCAAAGAAAACTGTGTGCATGGCAAACATCAGGCACAGAAACACAAACACCAACACCAACACCAAAATGCATACAATTGTCTACATCGAGGAGTAAAATATCAAACAAGTTTTTGCCAAAAGATAAATATTTATGTCCACCTACAAGGCGTGCAAAACTAAGCCCGAGAATGAAAACTCCACAGCCCCAGCCGAATGGTGAACTTGCGAGCACGTTTACACCGATTGCCATTAAGAGTTCAGAAGTGGGCAACATGATTGCATGATTACAGTGCACAAAATGGAACACAACACTGGCGACGGAATGAAATAGACAACACTACAAACATACACTTACTTCTTTGTATATATATGTATTTTTGTAGAAAAGCAACGCGGTTTGTAGGCGACACTCGGAAAAAAATATGCACGCTAATTGAGAATATTTGGGGCCATGGCAATAAAATGCAATTTATTTCGTTGAATTTGAATATAGTATCTCACTTCAACATTCATAATTCAGATGTTTTTATGGTTCTATTCTACTAATCATTGCGAAAATGTATTCACAAATTCCTCTGTTTTTTGTCCAAGTGCAGTTGCCCCAAAAAGTTAAAAGTAGACGAAAAACGCAATAAGAAAACTGCGTGCAGCAGTCGCTGAAGTTTTTGTCTTTGCTCGTGTCATGCTTGGTTCTTGGTGTTGCTGCTGTTGTTTGTGTAGTTGCTGGTTGCTGCCAACTTCACTGAAGTTGTTGCAACGCCCATGACAACAATTGCACGCCCACACAACGTAGCACACCCCAACCCCACCCCCTAAAAACACACACACGTCTGTTTGCCTTCACCTCTTTTGTAGCTAACAATTCGTTCTCGCAATCCTTGAGATCTACACTTGCTCCTTGGCTGCTTTAACTGTTGCTGCTCCTTGGCTGCTCCAGCCTGATGTCTGCGCGTCTAGACACTGTCGACATTGTTTCCAACAAACTTGCTCATTTAAGTAACATGTCATGCCTGCGCTTTTTTCTCCTCTACTAAGTATCTGCTACTCTTCTTTTTTTCCTGGTTCTTTACCAGAGTTGTGGGTCTTAATGGTTGGTCCTTTCTTTTGTTTTGTTTTGTTTTGGTGAGTCCAGCTGTTGTTAATTCCTCTAAGTGTACATTTTTTGGGTTGAATTACACATGAGGACGGGTTTCTATTTACTAAAATTGTACCAACTACTACCATTTCATATGTTTCCACGGGACTAACGTGTAATTACAGCAATTAAATAGTTTCTTATACATTTTCTCAATTCAATTTGGTCTGCGTCTAGTTTAAGAGAAGCTGACTTTAATCATGTGCAACTCAAATTAGTATTGTACTTAATATTTTAGAAATTTAAATATCAACTGTAAATGTTAGTTCGGAATATTGAATCAAACTTGCAATTTTTTAGCCAACACTTTAATTGAAAAAACAGACATAAGACGCAAGTCAAGTCAAGTCTCTGGAGTATAAAATAGTTCATTTTTTATTGAGAGCAGCGTATGTTTAATATCAATTTTCATCATTGGTAAATTAAGAGTTATGCATGCATATATGTACTCTCAAATTAGCAATATATATTCCAAAATAAATCTGAACACGGAAGAAATTCCCAAGTCGCAACTATTTGTAAGCGACATTTGCACATATATATATGTATATAGGAATATATATGTATAGAAACTGACGCCCACGCTTTAAGGACCTCGACACGAGACGACACCAATTGACTGCCATATGCACATAACTAAGCAGTTGCTCCCCAAACAGTTGACTAGAGACCCAGACGGACGAGGCGGCGCACAAGGATCGTCCGACTGCTGCTGCTGCATTGCATATTTTATAGGGGGGCGTACCACTTTTTTTCTCTTTTTTTGTTTATTTTTTGTTTGTTGCCCGTTTTGTGTGTGATTTTTGTTTTTGTGTTTTTGTTTTTTTTTTTGTTTTTGGTAGCGATTCTGAATAAACTCCCCACTGAGTCAGCAGAACTAGAACTAGGCTGCAAACGGATTATGAGGACATGCCGCAGGGCGTCAGGCTTACTTTTCGAAGCCGCGTACGTGAATAACGGCATGGGCACGTAGAGGGGATCGTGGGGCAAGGAGGTGCGATGGCAGCGCGGTGCAAAAATAGTAACTCTGCTCTATTATGAATAGTAGTAAAGGAGCAAAAAGGACGAGGATGAGACAGAAAAAAATGTTACAGTAATGTTGCAAATAAAAAATGATACGAAACAAAAATGAAATTGTGTCGTGGCTGGAATGAAATGGAATGCCTCCACTCGCACCTCATGATGCTGACTTGTGTTTTACTCTCTCTCTCTCTCTCTCACACTCTCTCTTTATTCTTCTCTCTGTCTCTTTCTGTCACAGTTTTGACATTTTGGCAACTTTTGTGTGGGTTAATAAAATGTTGTATTATGTCATATTTTTTGGACAGCGCAAATGTAATTGTATGAAATCTGCTTAGCGAGATGGATGGCGCTGGTTCCATAAACTACTATATCTATTTTTTATTTATTTTTTGGTTGGCCAGATGGATTTTGGACGATTGCCAACAGTTAATTGGAAAAGTTTTCGCGGCAGCAATAAATGTGGTTAAGGCTAGCAGAAATGATTGCAGGCCAACTAGTAGATTTACTAGAAAATAGTTTCTTTAACAAAAATCCAACTCAAATTATATGCATAAAAACTGTGCAAACTTTAATCATTAAAATAATCTTTCCAAATGTCCAGCATTTTTTTCTGTTAATGGGATGTGATGGGAGACATGATTGATGAAATTCCGTTTCCCAGAATTAAGGTAGTTATTTATTTAACGTCGACACAGAAAATTACAAAAAAAAATATTCACATATTTATATAAAATGTGAGCAAAATTCACCATTTGCTGCACGAACTGGGAAAATCCCAGAAAAATGCAATCAGAACAAAAGTAAAAATAACAAATGTTGATTGGAGAAACCAAAATGATTACAAATTACGGACGAGTCTCAATCGCAATGCCCATTTTGGAACTTGAAGTCCATCAGAATGGCTAGGCACATTCCTACATATTGTCCAATAATTTGTGAGAAATTGCAACGTGCCAGCAATGTAGAGCCTAGTTGCATTCATTTTTGGCAACTAGGCAGCTCACACACATTGCACATGGGGCACAAATCTAACGCGTGCAACGTGTGCCAGTTAAAAGTGAGATTTTACCTGTTGGCGCTGTCGGAATTTATATTAAACTGTGGAAGAAAACACGCGAAACACGCGAAAAATACGATGCGAAAATATCGAAAATGCTGCCCAATATTGTGGCCTCATTTTTGGGGGCATGGGCTGGCAATGAGCCAAAGCCATTTCAGGGTTTTTGTGGGCCGCAGCTGTTCTGTGGTATTTTCATTATAAGTTGGAATTTTGATAAACCCTTTCACCCTTCTTCTCGTTTCCTGTTGCAGTTTTCGCATCAATCGCATTGAATCGCCCATATTGAAATATGAAGGAGACTGCGGTGAATCGTTGACCATCTACGATTCGGATCATGCGGATCCTGCCCGGATTATCAAGACGTTCTGCGACACGTTCTCGCGACCAATGGAGAAGGTGGACTTTGTGAGCACAAGTCCATCGCTCTATGTGCAATTCGATTCGAAGACGGGCAGCTATAGCGGCAGTTCACTGTACTACTGGGCGCACTACGACTTCTTCAATAATACACGCTTCGGTGATCCGGTCCCCAACACTCTCTGCGATGAGGTGATGTACGCTTGGAAGCATCCTGGCGGTCGCCTGCGCTCCCCCCTCAACTCACTCATCTTCAAGCGAACGGGTGGCAGCGATGTCCGATGTCAATATAAATTCGTGACCGATCGGCGTCTATATGCCCGGGCCATTATTGAGGTGAATTCGGTGTCCTTCAAGGAGCTGCCGTATAATAGCAATGCGTGCACGCGTTGTCACGAGGAGCGTGTGGATAAGCTGGTCATCTGGGAGGAGCGCGACAAGTTCCAAAATAACTTGGCCTGTTTCTGTGACAATATACCGAGAGCGGTGCGTGTGATATCCTCGGCGGATCAAATGAACCTCGAGATGATTGTTCAGGGACAACATGCAATAACCTCGTACTTCAAGAATCCCAATCCATTGTTCGAGGCAACCTATGAGTTTGCCCATGGTCCGCTGTGTGGACCCATCACCTTGGGACCCTCACCCGATGGTGAGCTCGTCTTTCCCTACAAGAAGGCGCTGGCGATGGTGGCGGGACCAATGGCACCGCCGGAACACCACTATCGCAGAGAGAAATGCATCTGGGAATTGAAGGTGGCATCGCAAAGGGATCTCTGGCTTAATTTGGAGAAGGCGCGTTTTGCCGAGCGCAGCTGTGAGAGTGCCAAGATTGAAGTCTATCTAGCTGGACGTCTGGAGCCGCGTTTTGTGGTTTGTCCCGAAAACATTTCACTGGCCAGGGATTTGCCAATCCTGACCACTGCCGAGTTGGGCGCCACTGGCGCCGATCAGGAACCATTGCCGGTGCTCATACAATATACGGGCGATGGCCAGCCGGGTAAGAATATCTTTCGACTGGTCTGGACCGAGCTGTTCCACTTGCCCCGCAATCCCGACGGTAGTCTGTCCGCGTCCCTGTTGCAGGATGGCGGCTGTGACTTCCGCTGTCCTGGCGACACCCAGGTCTGCATTCCGCGTCATCTGCTGTGCAACGGAGTTGCCAATTGTCCCAATGTGACGCACACCTCGACGCTGGCCCAACTAACGCGGCACATTGAGTGGAATCTGGAACAGCTCGGCCTGCTCCACGAGGCCAACGAGTATCGACAGCTCGTCCTGCACGACGAATCCCCGGAGATTTGCCTGCGACGCGATCTCAGCGAGCTGCCCTACGCCAAACTGGCACTCATCACTCTGGGACTATGTGCGATGTTTGCCCTGCTCATCGCCATTCTGAGACGCATGTGTCAGGGAGCGCCGAAGCAGTCGGGATTGCAGCACCTGCAGGAGGATTACTAACTGCTCGGCTCCAAGTAGTTCTTTCCCTATGACTCTTTCAATCTTTTTTAGAAAGTGCAGCCGGTGCTGGCCCTAAATTGGAAAAGTTTCCAATGCAAACTTTAATTATCGCACCAAAAACTCTTGAAATATTTTCAATTGAAGTTTTTCCAATTTAACACAAAAAGCTTTTGTTGACAAACTTGGGTTAAAGATTATGAAAGAACTTACTAAGTATTTAGCCCAGCTTTAAAGCGACTTTTTTAATCCTTTTCCCTTCATCGGTATTCTTCCGCTTTCACCTCAATCCCCACTTAGTTTATTCACCTAGTTACTTTTCACTTACTTGGACTATGAATAAAAAAAATGCTTAATAGCAAAGAAATATATGTATGCAAGTGGTTCTATATAACTAAAATCTATCAATTTTTTCTATGTAAGCTACGTGACAGCTATTGAATATTAATTAATTAAATTATACGATACAAACTCGAAACATATAAATGTTTAAAAAACACACAAACACACACACAAAATTATACAAAATGAAAAATGATTAACTGCCCTGAATAAATTAATTAAGCGTAAAATTGTCACGTGATAATTGTTGAAAAAAAAAATGAAAAAACAAAAGAAAAAATAAACATACAGCATAGTTTAACGAGCATTAATAAATTAGATATTAATTAAGGTAGACACGTAAATGACAAAAGATATAAAATAATAAAAAAAAAACGAAAAAATAAGAAAACAAGAAATATGTCATATTAAAAAACAATTGTTGGTGGTTTTTATCAGTTATTATGTGTATGAAATCAATACAATGTATTTATAATTGGCAAATTGTCAATCTAAAAAAAGAAGAATAAAAAAACCAGGCGTACATAAGTAAATGCATACATACTTGAATAATTATGTATATAATGTACGATATACAATACATATATATTTTTTGCACATAGATTTACCTAGACCATAACAAAATAAAATTCCATTTAAATAGTTGGTGGAAATTGCCCACAAAAAATGGCTGACTTTTCTGCGAAGAAATGCAAAAAAATACCGTATTAAATACCATTAAAGTTTCCCATAATACCAAAAGAAAAATTGTAAAGTTCTGCCGAAATGGTTTTAGCAATTAAGTCGTATTATGTAAACTTAAGTCATATTATATATACAGAGTTTAGAAGGCACTGTAGCGGTGCCAGCAGTGAATACCGATTAAGAGAGCAGTAGATACTTGCAAGTATATACAGAATATATATAGAATTAGATACTTTGAAATTTCATTTTGATATCAATTCAATTTCACCTATCAATGTCGTAAGTAAATAGTTAATTCTACAATAACGTCAGCAAAAAACGTATAATGCTCAACACAAAGTTTTAGTAATGTTAATGTAGTAGTATAACGATAAATAACAATTTGTTTAACAAACAATACAATTTTCATTGGATTTGAATGACTTTACAACAGCAGCTTAACAAGTCAATTTCAATAAAAATTAACTTCTGAACTAATAGTGAACAGATTCATCTCTCAACCTAAATGTTTGTTTACAAATTGACTTAAGATTCCTCTAGATATTGATATGCTTTTAACAAATGGGAACTTACAGATTAGGCTTTTTGTTAACAATAAACCCAAAACACGCCGCTGCAGTGCCATAAAAAAGAATTATAGAGAAACATACACAACAATAATGAAAAAAAAGCAAAATGAAGTTAGAACACATATTTTAGATGTACGTCAGAATTAAATATAAGAATTCGATGAAAATATAAAAAAAAAAAATACACACACACACACACACAGACAGAACAGACAGAAGAACATAAATAAACGCAATGTGAAGAAAATTAACGGTATCATTTGAATGGAAAATGAAAGGCAGGTTGGCAGCACCCCCAGATGCGGCCCTGTTTGCCAACTGTCAACGAGACCGGGCGACCAAATGAAAAGCTCAAAAGGAAAGCAAACAAACGCTAAGCAAACGCGAAGAAATCGAAACCCACAGCGATTTATATGTCAGCTAACCCACAAATCGCCCGTCCAAGGCAGTGTCAAAAAGTTAACGATTTGGAAAACAGAGGCGCGTGAGAAAAGCAACTTTCGTTGAAAATTGGAAACGCACAATATTATCAAAAAAAAAAGAACCAAATAATATTGAAAACCATTTTTCGCAATATTTTTTGTCCAATCGAGATGGAACGCGCAATTGTGCCACGTGGCAAACGTCCGCGGGTGCAGGTATCCCAGGAGAACAAGGAGCTGGCGATTGCGCGCATACGCAATGGCGAAACCAAGGCAAGTATTTCCCGTGAACTGGGCGTGCCGGAGTCGACAGTGCGCGGCTGGGTTAAGCGGGCAGATCAGCGCATTGCACGCGGAATTTTGGAAGGTAAGTTGGAGATGCACACTCGACTTATGCACTCATGCACTCTTTGTGGCCAGGCAAGGAGAATGCATCTCCGCCTACGCAGCTGCAGCGACCCGTCAAACGGGATCACAATGGCCAGCCGGCAGCAATGACGCCTGTCGGCGTACCGATGCCAATTGAACTGTTCGAGCAGGCGGCGAACAGTCAGCTCCAGCTCACTGATTGGCTGCACATCTTCAATGCGGGCATACTGAATTTCACGCTAGTCGCCACAGCCGCCTATTTGCGGGCTTGCAGTCGTGGCACCACGGATCGCCAGTCCCTCTGGCAGATCATATGCGAGTATGTGGATGAGGCGGGACGCAATGTGGCTGCCAATGGGGGGGCAGTGGCATTTAATCGGCAATTTGTCCGTACTGTCGGCATTGTGGCGCCACGTCTGCACATCACGGCCGAGGATGATGAGGATGATGCGGAGGACGGGTATGGTGGGTATGATGAGAATGCATTGCGGTTGCCGTGAAACTGAAATCGATTTATTATGTACCTGTTTATATGCGATATGCAAATAAAACGCCTGTCAATGGGATTATGTTGTTTAAAGCAAATAATTGCATTTTAATTAGCTGCGAAATAAGTGCGATAATTGCCTCCTGGTCTCTGCTCCGGTGTCTGGTGTCTGTTGTCTGTTGCCTGTTGTCCAGCGTCCGGTGTTTTTCATACTGAATACGAATCCGATTCTGATGCGGCTGACTTTATTAACCATATTATTATTTCATTTCGTTGAATGTGTCATGCAAAAAGTTTCCATTTGAAATTGTTGATTTTATTGTTCCTTTTTGTCCTGTGTGCCCTGCTGCCATCCAGTTTGGTCAGAGTCACGTAATTAAGCGGTTTTATTTGCGGCTTTGCCACACATTAATTGCTCATGTTAAATGTGAAATTTACTTAGTGCCCGTAAAACGTCACACGAAAACGAAAAACAACTCATTTATATATATCTGTATATATACATATAAATTTATTTCAATCACATATGGATTGTAACTTTAACGCTGCATTTGCAGTATGTGAATTTTACATTAGTGTAATTTTTTGGGATTAGTATTTAAAATGTTACACTTCATTTGAAAAAAGGATTAAATATTTCAATGTCAGAATATTATTCAGTGTTATGTATTTTATATGTTGCATTATGTGTAATTAAATGTACATGACTGCATTTATGTCCCAATGCCAAACCGGATTTACTTATCAATTTTGTTAATTGCGTTGAGATTTTTAGTCATTGAAGCATTTTTATTAAAAATTATAATATTTCATTTTTTGCGAATTTCTTTTAAGCCAGCAATTTGTCAGCCCTTTTCGGCTTTAACGAAAACACTCTACTGCAACTGCGGGCCACATAAAATACACACCTAATTGAAGGCTTATCAGGGTCACATTTTTATGTTCACCTTTTTTTTTTGTAGATTTAATTCACAAGGCACCTGCAGCCAGCTTTGTGGCTAGGGGCAACGCTAGCTGCCTAAGCCAAGTGTAAGCCACAAGCGTTGGGTAAAATAGCATGGCAGCGATTATCCGGCAGTTCATCGAGAAATGCTGCTAGCTCCTTAACACGAAACTTTTTCCATTTTCATTTTGCGCGCAAGACCATAAAAAAAATATGGAAAAAGGGCGGCACAAGAAAACGACCCAACAATCCCGTTTGTTTTGCGATTTTCTCAATCACTTTTTTGGGCGAGCTCACGGGCGGACGGACGGACGGACGGACTGACGGAGGCCGAAGTTCTTGGAGGCCTATCAAAGTTGATTATCGTGGAATATTTTGAGCAAGAGATTTTCGCTTGTGGCCTATACCTGATTTAAGGCATAAGCCACAGGGATTTCCGACCCAGATTTGGGGCAGCTTTCTTTCTGCAATTTTGCGGCAACGAAAATATAACATTGATGAACTTGTTAAGTATCGAAAAATGCAACTTTAATTGCACCGAAATCAATAAACGCACTAGGGCACAAATATTTTCGCAAATTGTGTGTTGAAACGGAAACGGAAATCAAATGGCGCAGGCACACGGCACACACACATAAGGAGCTGCTGCAGCAGCTGCCATAAAGGTGCTCAGCTTTTATGGCCGGCGCAGAGGTAGAGAGCAAAAAGTCTCACTCCCGTCCAAAATAAACGCATTTGGTTTTTGAATTGGAATTGCGGTTGCAGCTGGCAAACCTTCATTTACCTCCTGCCAAGCAGCTGCCCACACACACACACACACACACACACACAAGTCATAAATCAAACACGTTTAATTAAACTTTTGCGCGTGGCACTGGACGCGAAGGATGCGAAGGGAAGGGCAAATAGGGGGCGTGACAACCGTGGGCAAACTTTAGCGCCTGGCACTAAGTAAAAATGCAATTAGAAGTGGCAGGCAAAAGTCAGAGGAAATGTAAAACGTCGAACTGCCAACTGCAGAAGAGTCAGCCATTCCCCATCCTGGTCACGTTCGCAATAGACAATCGACATGGTGCATAATGTTTGCAATCTAGTTCCGAATTGTGACTCAATTGCGAAGCAAGTCGCCGACAATGACCCTTTTTGATGTTTATTGCTTGAAGATAGTTTGCGCAAGCTACGCTTGTAATTGCTCCTCGTATGGACTCTACAATCGATGGACTCCATAATCGATGGACTCTACAATCGATATAAGGATCTCGATGATAAGGAGTTGCCTTGAACACAGTTCTAAAATCTACCCACTTGAAAATCAGTTAAGTTCTGATACAGTTATGGCTAGGGGAAGTTTGGACTCATTTCAACAACAGAATATTAAAGTCGATTGACAAACGTGTTTCTAAATTTTTTTAAGTATGCAAATCTGTTAAATTTTGATCAACTAATGGCAATGGATCCTTTGTCTTTGTTGTATATGCGTTTTCTTCTACTTTCCTTTCAACATGTAACATGTTGACAAATTAAGTTACAAACGTACAATTTTTTTGGTCAACAGATACAGATTTCAGCAAATGCCCCAAAAAAAAAAGGATGATGCCACAACTGGTGGAAAAGACAACGTTATAACTGCACTAGCAAAAGCTGTAAATTATTTGGAGAAATGTTTTAGCACCTTGAAAGTGACACGAGATGAGAAACCTTCCCCCAAGAGTCCCCTTCATGCTCAGGACAGTGTCATTGTGAAAGGAAATCACGCAATAAACTAGCGGCGAAAACAAAACTTTAACTACATTTTCCGTTAGCCGCGAAGCACGACTGCAAAAACTTTTTGAAACAATACAATTTATATTTATGCGATGTCGACGATGACCCAGAAAAACGAAAATGCCGAAGAAAATGCCGTCCCGCATTTTGTTGGCTCACAGTCAGAAAAGGACGAAACCACGAGACGGCCGAGGCGGAGGCAAGAGCCTTTATTTAAGTGTGGAAATCTACTCGACCCACTTTGTGTGTGTGGTGTGCTGATAATGGTCTGAGAAGCTTCTGCATGCTTACTATTTAAAAGCCCGGTCGGATTGTTTGCAAAACCCAACAGCAATTTTTAAACAAAATAATTGTATATTTTCCTTAAGAGTTATAAAGAAAATGCGATTAAGTGTTAACAGCGTGTTGCTAGCTGAAGGTGAATATTTCATCCTAATGCATTTTTGATTCATTTTCTAACATTAATGGAGACCAAAATAATCGCCTGTGGTGTACATTTGACAACATGAATCAGAAAACAACAAAAGTTGAGAAGAAATGGAGTATGGAAGCTAAATGAACTATTCCCGTTGCTAATTAGTTTTGGGTAAGAAATCTTGTTTGTTGTGCTCGGGCGAATGTCATAGGCGAAAACTTTGCAATCAATACACATGTCCTGCCAATTAAAGGCCCCAAGCGAAACACAACCAACGCCACACAGCCAAAGCGTCCAAAGTCACAGAACAATAGCAACAAAGACAATAACACTGAGTTAGTTTACCATAGATGGGTGTAATCGACATGGAGATACCCTAAGAAAGAAGAGAATAAGAAGGTAATATCGATATAAACATAAATTTTGTTGTGAAAAAATAATTGCTAAGTTTTACAAAACAATTTTAACTAAAAATATGAGACTTTTTTTTTTATTAAAAAAAACAGATATCTATGAAGTGAAAATGTAAATAGCTACATAACTCATCAGCCTAAGCCTTTCGCAAGGATAGGGTATCACAACAGGACCAACAAAACATATGGCAACAATGTGTGTGTGCATCCAAATGGCTGGCGGATGTTGATTGTATGCCCACAGACGGTCGAAGCACATAATGACCCAAAATTCTATCAATCCAAATGAAAATTCCCCAGTCGTGCGTATAATTGGAATTAATACAAAAAGCAGCTGAGAAATATTGTTGGTTTGCGGACCAGGGAGCAGTTAACGGAGACCGAGGCAAATGATAGGGTTAGCTGCTGCTGTGTCATATTTAATACCTAAGCTGAAGTCTGGACATTCGTTGCCAGCTGTTGTTGTTGTTGTTGTATTGCCCTGGATTAGCAGAGACTACATCCTGGTTGGATGGCCAGTGTTTATGAAATTGAATTCAATTAGCAGGGAAACGAAATAGACAGCGTTTCATGTCCTTTGTTCATGTCCAAAGAAGCTTCATTTGTGGAGCCCCCAATGGGTATTCTGAATATGTTATCCATTACGTGGATGAGTGTTTGAACAATAATAAGAATGACATTTTATTATACATATATGTATTTTTAGTACTTTTAGTCTAAGAAAAACATTATTAATAAATGCTAAAGCATATTTTTAGGATGATCTTTAAAATCGATAGTGCATTTTTAGAAATAACTCTAGCTTTTGTTCACTTATTTTAATCTAGCCCTACAATAATAGATATGTTCTTTAAAGATCCATCCGTATTTAGCATAAATATTTTCATTTTTATTGTTTGGCGACCTCTCAGTTCAAGATAATACACGAAAAACAAAAATGTCTTTTTCACGAACAACTTTAATTGAATATTTGTAAAGGACTTGGTGCGCTAGTACCTTAAGGACTAGCGGACTATTTCTCTGTGCTTATTAATCTATACTTATATAATCAAAAACTATTACTAATAACTGAAAAACTATATTCACGTCTTGAATGTCTTTTATAATCCCATTTCAAATTATTTATATACCGCAACAATTGATTTCCCCACGCTGTGGCTTCTTCCATGCTTCACTGTACACACATAAAATCGCCAAGGATGGTACCGCATTTGATTAATAGCTTTTGATATTTAATAACTTTATGCAAAGCGACGCGCTATTAAGCAATAACCACAACAAGCATTTGTTAGACAGCAACCCAAAATTAAGCCGCACACAAACATACACAATCACATAAAAAGAACACAAAAATAAAACAATATCCACTTCAAAACTTCAACTAAACTAAGGCTTAATAGCAGAAGTCTTGGCATATTGATAATAATGGAACTTACTTGCTGTCAATCGCATTAAATACCGATAAACAACTCATTTTCACACTTTTTGCAAAACCATTTAAAAAACTTTCGGCTATAAAATTTGTGCAAACAATAAAAAACAAAAGCCGCCAAACTGTAATGTTTTTTCTCTTCTTTTTTTATTATTACTTTTGCTTGAATCTTTAATTGCTACCAACGAACAAGGAAAGCAAATTATGTGAATAATAAAAATAAAAATATGCATTAGCGAATAGTATTTTCATTGGCATTTTTTAGTATTTGCATGTATTTGATGAGCCATTAATTTTTACACATGGCATATTGTGGAAATAATGGTAATGAGTAGAACATGAAAAAAACATATTCTTGTCGTTTAATTCTCGCCCCTTTATTTATAGGGCAGGTATAAATGCAGACTACTTTCCAGCTATGATATGACTTATAATCAATATTGTTGGAGAATCGGCAATATTTTAAGGTGCGTTTCGAATATGCGTACTCCAGATGTCCCTCAAGACAGAATTAGTGTACATTTTAATGTACCGAAATGAATGGGTATAGTGTATAATTATCTTTGTATTTATCACACAAACGCCTGTTAAGCTATCAAGATTTATTATCAGATATTATGAAAATACAAGCACTTTTAACATATTAGTTTTTTTCGTGTAATTTCGATGTGTTGCCAGTTATGAATGATTGGTATAAACCGGAAGGCGCAACATGTTGCATCGTAGACTGCGCTTGCTGCTTAAAATTATCTACTTCCAGATGCTCATCTGGGGCTTAGTGCCGCGGAAACTGTGCATAAGGAACGGTCGTGTTAGCATCAGAAAAGTATCTACCGGATATCTGATTTATAGTGTGTGCTTGAGTGCGATATTGCTGTTGCACATACCGTTAATGATGACCCACGGCATTATCGACGGCTACATGAGGAACCACATTGTGCTGCAATGGGGTCTGATTGTGTCATTGCTGATGCGCATTATTGCCATACTGAGCTGTTATGGACTCGTTTGGTTGCAACGCCGTCGGCTCATACAACTTTGCACGGACTTTGTGGTGCATTGGATGACACACTGGCACATCCTGCGGTTCATTGCCGGCGAGGATGCACTGAGACAACTGCAAATGCACCTTGCATTTCAATTGAGCCGCAAGCTATGCGTTAATTATGCAATGCTCAGCTGCTCGATATTTATGCAGTGTCGACTGCTCACTGAGGTCCAACTGCCCGAGCTGCTGATACGTTTCGTACCAATTTTGATGATCTCCGTTGGAAGAATTACCTTCTTCACGGTGCTCGTGCTTCTCAGTCATCAGTTTCAGGCCGTACAGCTGGCACTGCAGGCACTCAGAAAAGAGGCCAGATCCCGATTGTTGGTGACAAATCTCAGGCGGATTGGTGCCGTTCACTTTGAGTGCCTGAAGCTAGCTATGAGAGCCTTCAGCCTCTATGATGTTGCCAATGCGATCATATTTTTGAATATATTTGTGGCCCAAGTAAATATTCTATATCATGCCGTGCAATTTGGCAATAAGACAATTGCATCTGATCACTGGGGCTTTATGCTTGGGAATGTATTCGTGGCCCTCAACATTTGGAATTCCATCCTACTTATGAATATGGTAGATTATGCAGTTAATTCCTGCAATCAGACAGAGCAACAGATTCGACAGTTCAACGATCTACGAATGCTGGGAAAGGACTCGGAAAGGGAGTTGGAACTCTTTATGACTCATTTGCGTGGTAACCGACTTGTCTACAGAATTTGCCACTGTGTGATCCTTGACAAACCAGCCTGCTTGGGTTATATGGCCTCAGTGCTGTGCTATATCATCATTCTAATGCAGTTCGATCTGAAGCGTAGGAAAGAAGCGGGTTTGAGATACGAAGACTTCTTCAATAATGAAAAAGGTGTCAAATAAATCACATTCAACTTATAAATGTATTTGAAAATTGCTTATTGTCTATTGTTCAAACACAAAATATTATAAAGCAAATAAAAATTCTAAATGTTGTCTTATATACATTTTTTAATAGTTTATTTGAATTCTTATAGTAAATATACAAAGGATAGCAAAGACATATCCCTACTTTTTGCAAATAAATAATGGGAAAGTGGTGCGAAACTAGGAAAGCTTAATTCACAAAGCTCTAGCAAAGCACATCATATTTCATAACAATCGAGCTTACACGCAGGCTTGCAGAAGCTGGTTGGCACAGAAGTTTAAGCCAATAAAATTCGTATATGCAAACTGACTAAATCTGATCACATTAATTACATTAAGTATACAGCCAAAAAGGACACCAGCGAATGCTATAATCACTCCATAAAATATCATCCGTAATCTTAGTTAAGTTGAATATACTGTTTTAAAATTTATAATATAATTTTTATTGATTTGTAAATCGCTTAACAGCTGTGTTTTTACATACACATAACTATTTAATTTAAGTACATATTTTATAAATACTTGGACAGATTGGGCATCTTACTTAAACAAACATATTTTGATTTGTGTTAAATGCATAAGTACATAATTTATCAACAATACTTTTTTATAGTCTATAACTAAAAGCCAACAGCTTAATTATAACACAGTTGTAATACTTTGATAAACTTAATAATTAGGGCATATTCATGACTATCCAAGGAACCCGTCCGTGGAATCTATAGAAATAATAGTCATAAGCCAGCTTGCCCAGTATCAGAAAAATAAGGCTGGCCAACACACAGTTCAGCCAGTCAATGGGATGGATTCGCATATCATCCTCGACTGTAATGTTGCACATATCGTGCCGTGTCAGCGACAGGACCTGGGCACGACGCATTTCATCACCCTGCATATAGGTGCAGGTGACATTCCGTGCATCCCTCACAATATCCTTGTACTTGGTAAGCAGCTCACGGAGTCGCATCCCAAATTTGCATGTGCAGTGCCAAGGATTTTTGCTCAGCAGCAGGAGATTCACATTCAAATTGTCATTTAGGGCATTATCGAGGGCATAGACCTGAAGTTTCTGCAACTGATTGCCATGTAAGTTAAGCAGGCGAAAGTTCTCAAGCCAATACGTATCCTCCAGGACATCAATGTTCGAGATCCGATTGTTTTCCAGCTGCACATCGACCACATGCTTATAATGCGGATTATCGCGCAGTGGATTTATGTCGCTGATCTATAAATGATAAATGACTTGTGTATCAGACAAAATTCAATTCTGGTTCACTCTACTTACTTGATTATCAGTAATATATAATGAGGTTGTATTGGGTGGCAAATAGGCTGGGAGACTGTAAAACTGCAGATGGGAACAGTTGACCGTGTAAAGTGGAATGTATGATTTGGGAATGATGTGGTGCATAAGACATGTGCAGTTTAAAAGATCTACATGCGATTGACACTCTCTTCTCAGCACCTAGAATTAGCAGTAAAAGGTTATCAGTCAGCTAAAGTCTTATATATATTTGTGAAGCACACCCACCACTTTGTAGTGCATGACGAGTATCATTTGTCGCTCCTTGTACTTGCGATCGGTGCAGATGAGCTCCTCTCGATCCGCCACGAGGCGACCCTTCTCCGGCTGCAGCAGGATCCACTTGAAGTTACGGGTGCAGTTCCAGGGATTGCCCGCCAGATACAGCTGTTGGAAGGAGCGTGGCAGTATCAGTGGACCATCCAACTGTATCAGCTGATTCCAGCGCAAATCCAAAACTTGCAACGCATGCAATCGCTTAAAGGTGCGTGCCGAGATATGCGAGAGATTCGTCCAGGATATGTTGATTGCCTGCAATTGGTTCATATCCGGAAAGTCCAATGCGAACTTAATGAAGCCGCTATACTCGATGGTCAACGAGCGCAATTTGGGAAACTTCAGCAGCTCTCCAAGTGGATTAAAATCCACCTTTGGCCAGCCACAAAGAAGCATCTGTTGAGCGGGAAAGACTTTGCCCAACTTGGAGCTATACAAAATATATTAAATTAGAAAGCAGTTGGGTCAGTGACATTTTGTATCCCTACTTTAGCACCGCTAGATTGTTCATGCCGCCATAGCATTGGATTAATCCAGTTCCTGTTGAACGAGTGCAGTTTCCATCTGCAGCCTCCGGCGCTGCTGTCCAATTAACACAGCTGTGGGTGGGGCTCTGCACCAAGGCGGGCAAAGCTGCCAAGGGTGCCACTGATGTGGATGTTGTGGTTAGTGTGGTCAACCCATCGCTGGGATCTGCGGCGCCACAATATCTGTGTGCAAAAACCGTGAATAAATTAGCTACTATTTATAACTGTCACGACTACGTGCTTGGAAACCTTCTGCTAATCTACGCAATTAGAGTCCGTATACGATTGCTGAGTCTATTTTTGGTAGGTGATAATTCTTTTGCAGCCTGCTATACATTTTATTTATGTCAATGAAAAGAGCAAACCATAATTTATATTTTTATATATCAACTATCTTAATTATCTGCTTATGGAGTTGCCCCAATCATATATGAACAGCTCTAGTCTATTAAAAATAATTTATCTCTTTTCGCTACCTTTTTTATACCTGTGTCCATAAAAATGATGTCAAATTTAATAATGTGTGTCAAATTTAATCGTTAAATTTTATATTCCAATCATTATTAACGAATATTTTTATTAACGCATATAATATATAATATAGATAGTTATATTTTTTTCAATTTATTTAATTTTAATGAGTTCCGCCAAACACCTTTTAAGAATAAGAATAATGTTCACAAAAAGTTATTGGAGTGTATTACTTTTGTGGCCCATCCAACTGAGTTTCACTGCTTTGTCGAAAATAAATAATTTGTATATGGTTCATTTGAACTTTTTTAGCTCCAGCTAAAATCAAGGTACTAAATATAAGAGCTAACACTGTGATATATATTATTTTTCTGTGTTCATTAGCGGCTAGCGACATAGGTGATGATTCCACTTAGCACCTTGGTAGATCAGTTTGTGGCATTTACATGGACACAATATTGGAGTAACCAACAGCAGAATACTCTGATGCCAGTGTTATTAGTAATGCACCTTTCAAAATAAATCAATCAATCAATCAATGTCATCAATTTTACCACTTTATCTGACTCTGACATTGATGAGCCTCAGAATTTTGAGACTCTGGCTTTAGCCGTGTCCAAAAATGTTCACACTGAGCGGCATTGCGCGAAACCAATATACTCTGCTCTTTCTGCACCAGAGTATAGAAGTGCTGTCAAATGACTGATAATAACATAATGTCTTCAGATTTTAAGATGGATAATCTAGGAAAGTAATTGATAAACACTTAACATGAATAAAAGAGCTCGCATTTCACTTTAATAAATTTTAATGTATAATAAGAAATCAATGTTAATAAATGAAATAAATAAATAAATAAGTGAAAAACACGTCTCCCAAGATGTATTTTGACTAAACTTAGTGACAATTTAATAGCAAATATTTAATATTGAAATACATTTCGTATTTACGAATCGAAGGCCTTTAAAACGTACGTATTTAGCTGCAATTAGCAACTCTTCCGTCATATGGTGGCTGAGCAAGTGTTAACATTAATAATAAGCAGGAAAGAAAAAAACAACGAAAGCCAAAAATATTTATTTTAAAATGTACAAAAGCAACCAAATGGTGGCAATACCAGTAGTTTATATACTTGGTCAATTTAGAGTGTCTGTTGAGCAGAAATCGTGAGAATATAAACAAATATTAGCTCATACGATATTTCACAGTTTTTGAGCATCGTATTTATTTGCAGACTCTATCAAGTTAAGCAATTAAACTACAATAATTTTGTAGACTGGCTGGCTGTACAGAGAGAGAGTCTGGCTTTAAAATTGGCTCACCACGTGGCCACATTTAACGTTAATTAACAAAGAATGTGAGCCATACACATATATTTAGCATCGTCATATTCGACGTTGTTATTACTTTTTTATCGACGGAAATAAGACAAAACAACAATTGTTTATAATTTGTGTGTGTCTCTATTATTAATTTTTGACATACGCTGAGTTTGGGAAGCAAAAGAAAAATTTACAAAATTAAGATATTTGTTCATATGTAGAACATGCGTTGTCTTTTTGTTCTATTGCATAACCCAGTTCATGAAACAAATCGCAACTACTCGACTGGTCAATACTCTATTACCAATGTGTCAATCAGGTTTATCTTTAGTTATACCCCTTTTTCTTGTTAAGCAGTGAATACAATTAAGGTAAATGAGTGCCCCGGACTAGTTAAGAAACTGTATCAGTAATTATTTATCTGTCATGTGCCTTATTATTCGTTGTGCTATTCTTATACACATCAGCAAATATAATCCAGACGAGAAGATAATATAGGCACACATTCAAAATTAAAGTGTCTGCTTAACAAGTACGAAATGAAAACGGTAAATAGTGCTACGCTCTGATACAACAATTTAGACAGAAGCAAGATAGTAAGTTTACTTAATTGTCAGAAAACCTGATTAGGTTGTTAAGGTCGCAAAGTTACGAAAGAATCTAACAAAATGAGAAAAAGAAAGAAGAGAGAATAAGAACAAAATAAAGCAAGATGACTAGAAGAATGTGAGGTGATTAAGCTGAGCTTCACAAAAAAATTAATCATTTCCCCAATTTGAACAATAATTCAAGAAGCTTGTAAACAACTTTTTTAAGCCGCCATCTTAAAACTTCCCCTTTCAACATATATTTTATTAGGTGAATAAAATATACAAAAGAAAATATATTTCTCAGCTTTGAATGCTCTTTTATTAATCGATCTGTTGGCAAATGTAAATTAATTAATTATGCGATTTCCGTTTATAATCAGGGTTGGAATTTCGAACTGTGCAGCTCTGTTAGTTTATAAGCATAAATAAACAAGTATATTTATAAAAAAAAACCTCTTGGTAAAAATAACACGTCCCATATAATCTAATCCGCAAATGACATAAAAATCATAACAATTTTAATAAATTAAAGAAGTTAACTCCAAGCGATTACGTACTCAATATGTCAACCACAGTGATTACCTGCTTGACTAAAATAAATATATATATACAAGCTTATACGTAAAGTGATACACATGTAAATGTGTTTTATGATAAGCTCATTTGACGCTGTTTCGTTCGTCTCATTGTGATGATAAAAATGTGAGCAGATCGATTTATGATAAAGTTAAATATTTCCATTGATACAAAACGTTACATTGATTTATAAGCCTAAAAATCAACAATGAAATAAAAGCACGTTTAAAGGTTCAGTTTGATAATAAACAAATTGCGTATACGATATGTGGGCAAAGGAATCTTGAGCTTGCTTATCAAAATTATCACATTCAAGTTGAAACACTTTCGATTATTAATTAAAATTTTGCGCACCTTCCGAAAATAACCAGCAGCAGGCAAAGACAAATCACAAATGGGCTGCCATCAAAATAAATGACTCGGTAGCTCATTGCCATTCTCAGAGACGGCACATAAAAATCACAGAGAGACACCTGAACTACGTATTTGTGTATTTCTTGTGAACTGTTTTAAAATTCGGGCACCGTAAGTTTTCCAATGTTTATTAGAGTTATGTATTTACACATGACGTTAATTTTCTATTTTATTGTTGCAAGTATCGAAGCAAATCGCCCGCCATTTATATATATATTTATAGTATTTGTATATTTGAATTGTGCTTGCTACATATTTAAATGCCTTTTATTGTTGTAGTGATTTTATTGTATTTTTTTATTTTAATCGTCGCGCATCCGTATCTGTCTCGCTCGCGGACTGTGCTACTTTTCTCGCGTTTGAAGTTCAAATGAGGCGCAAATGCGAAACGCTGTCATATTCTTTCTTTAATTTTTTTTGTGTTTTTGCTTTTTGGCGGCACTGAAAGATCCGCTAACCAAAAATCAGCTGTTTGCGAGCCAAGAGAACGCTTTTGGTGAGAGTCGGCTTTTTTGTTTTCTTTCTCCGAGGGTGGTATATTTGTGTGTGTGTGTAACAATTGATTTATGTGTGTATAAGTATCAGCAGCTGATTGTTGTGCGTTTTTAAGCAAAGCAAAAAATGTTAGACAACCTTTTTCAAGCGATGCTGGCCGCGCATACTAATTGCTTTAAATTTTTACGTTCACTCGGAATAAATGATTTTTTCCCAAAAATTCATTTGATTACGATCTTAATTGTTCGCAGAAGTGACGATAGTTCTCCATAAAAGTTATGTATATATAAATACAAAGCAACTACACTTTATACGACAGCAATTATGTGCCGGTTAAGCTGTACTTACTTGGGGTAATAAAAAAATCAACCAAATCGTTGAACCCACAATAATTCAAATGAATTTCGTGACCAATTGACAATTATTTAAATATTGTTTAATTCATGTTCTTTTTGCATTTTGTACATCAATGTCAACATCGCATTTTGTTCTAAAGCTTCTGCCAAGCGCATATGTTTATAATAACTATGGAAAATAGTTAACAAAACACCAAAAATTGTGCTCCACACACATATACATCTAAAACATATATGCAAACATCTTCTTACAGATGCCTAGGTAGTTAAGTTGTCTATTAAATAGTTTGTTGATTGTTATGTTTTGTTTTTCTTTCGTTTTTGGTGTCAAGTAGTGCCCATATTGGTTTTAGTTACAGAATCTTGAGCTTATTTGGACCATATGAAATGCATTTAAAATATGTATATGTAACATTCTTATGGCTATGACTTGAGAAATTTGATAAGCTCGCCATTCGATGCCCCCCTCGTTCTAGTTATCTTATTTGAGCTAAGCACTAAAACTGTCTGCCCGCCCTGATTGGCCTTTCAATTTGGTATAACATTCACAAAATTTCAACCTAAACATTTGATCTTAAGAGACCGATTCGTGCGTTGGAGTGCTGCTACCATTGGCATCCACCTCGGTATCCTTGCTCGCGAATTGAACCTTCTCATTGGTTTCGGCCTGCTTTTGTCGCTCGTACGAGCGCACATCCTCCAGCGTCCAGCCGTGCCACTCATCCACCCAGGCAAAGGCCTGACGATGTCCTAGCAGCAGAATCTCCCGAATTCCCCGCTGAATGAAATCCTCCACTTTCGTTTGAAATCCCCAGACCTCGAAGCTGGCATGGACCACTTTATAGGAGCACATGATGGGCGTGTCAGTTTCACGCCACCCCTCAACGAGTGGACCGCGATCTGCAAAATGAAAAGAAGAACGTTTATAAAATTTTTGCCTTTACTGGCCTATGCAAAATAAGATCTCTTTTTACGCTTACTGGTTTTTTGTGACTTGAAAAACTTGGGGTCCTCATCGCGTTTGTAATGCTTGGCATTGAGCTCGTCGAAGGCAATGTCCAAATGATCCACAGTACGCACCTTCAATTCATCCTCGCTGAGATCCAAGCACTTTAAATAATACCAATCATTAGCGAGATGTGTCTAGCGACAAATTTAAAGTTAGTTCTTACGTTTTCTGTGCTGCCATTGTTATTCTCATATTTGGTCTTGATTAGCACATTGAGCTTAGGTATAAAGGAACACTGAAATGTGTAAGAGTTAACGTATAAATACATATCATAAATATTCCCAATCAATTTGCTTAATTACCGTGTATTCTGACCGAGTGCCCAGTCATTTGAAGCGCCCATAGATTGACCGTGAAAATATCATTTAAAGGAGAAAAAAATCAATACCCGGATATAAATTTGGCTGTATATATGCAGCTACCATACAAAAATAAACGAAAGGGAAATGCCAAACGGCAATTTTATTGAAAAATTTATGAGACATGCATGGCTAGAGATTTAATTCCATTTAAATTGATTGAAATGAATTTCTCTCGAACAACAAAATATAAATATTCTGGCAGATATATTTATTACAGAGGTATACAAAACTCACATATCTCTGCTATATAGAGAATCTATTTGAATATGTACTTGTCCAATTTATTATTAATTTATTTGAAAATTTGAAATTGCCAGTCATAATTACAAAATAAATATTTTACAAACGTCATGATTATAAATATGTGAAGACGTTCGTATGTTGTGTATTTTTCCTTCTTCATTTTATTGACATTATTATCAATATTGATGAACAGATAATATGAAAAATTGACCAACAAATTCCAAATTCGAATTAGTTACCAAGTCGCTCGAATATGAAGGAAACATGTTAACGATCTAAACCCAAAACAATAACCATAACAATTTACTGATTGATATATTGGAGACACTAAAACCAGTCTGTGTTTTCATTGATTACAGGGAAATTTAAACGAAATCTAGAATTAAACCCCATGCGAAATGAAACAACTGTTAATCAATTTACAAACACACACAGAGCCAAAATTTAATCTGGCCACCAATTTCCCCTTTGCTGTTGTAAGCCTTATCAGACTAACGACTGTGACGTATTTTCTATTTAGCTTGACAAGTGCGATATGGCCATATATATATATATATATATACATATAGATACATACATATATATATATTAGATTTACCCTTATCGGAACAAGTTGTGCCATATGGCAAAGAAACAAAAAGAGATACTATTTAAACGAACTGTGCTGTAAGTGGAAGGGTGAATGAGACGGGCATATTGGAAGGCTCACCTGTTAGCGTGTAGGGATAATAGTTCCAGGACTTTTCTGTCACATAGAAAACGCGTGGACAAATTGCCTGTATCCAGTATGGAAGACGACTGCACAAATAATACAGTGTATACAAATATGAGCACATCAAATAAAATGATTTCCCCGCTCAAACCTGGACAAATGGATGCGTTTCTCTGTGTACTGGCCGGTGCCATGGACGGGATCCTCGCACGGTTTGTTCTCAATTACCTCGACGCCCTCGCCCTCGTCGGACTGTTCGAGGCTATGGCGCGCAATCATATAAAGCTGTCCGATTTTGTACTGCAAAGCAATGAATGAATTGTGAATGGTGCACATATTAAAAAGCAGGCACTGGTTTTTATTCACCTCCTCCACGGTGAGTGGCATACAGACGCGATATTCCTTCGTTAATACCATCTTCTCAAGTGATGATTTTATTTAAAAAACAATAATAATATTAAACCGAATTTAACGTTACGCAAAGAACGACACTCCACACGAGACGCAACTGAGGAAAGCAACAACAAAAATAAATGCTTCTGAAAACTTGTCGTGCTTACCTATCGATTTCTGTATCGATGATTTCAACTAGTGGTGGAAGGAGGGTATACATTAAACAGATATAAATATCGTATGTGTAATCACCGTACTTGCCTTGCAATGGCATCGATATTGTTTTTCCATTTGCAAATATCGATTGTGCTCCCAATTATTTCACTGTGTACGGTCACACAAATTATTGCTTAGATTTTTGCTGCAGGCAGAAAACGGAACTCTGCGTAAAAATAATAATACGGAGTAGATAAATAATTGAAATTGGTAAAGTTTGCACAAATATACTTCTGATAGATAGCTCTACAAAATAACAGTAAATGAAATACAACAAACTTTGCGCAGTGTGATCACATCCAGTGAAATCTAGAGTGGAAAAGTGGCACAATAATAAATACATACAACCCACACACACACACACATACATACGTAAATAAATTTGCAAGTGTATTTGTATACACCCATGCATATACATAGAGAGAGACAAGCAATGAATATAAAATAGAGCTCTTTTTTAATTAATGCCGTTCGTCTTGTCTTCAGTTTAGTGCGATCCGACAAAGCGCTCAACCCGTCGTCGCCGTCGGACGTGCAATGTTTAGGATCCGTGTCAAAATGGGTCCGCAACGTAATCACAACAACAACAATAATAACGGGAATGGGAATAGCAATCATGCCCGTGTCAACAAGGAGTGGACGTGCTGCTTTGGCCTGCATGTGCATACGGCCACACTGATGATTGGCCTTTGGCATCTGGTAAGCAAAATTAGCCTTATTCCAGTGCATTTAAAAACTGTTGCCGCTCCCTTTCCCTCTCACTCACTCCCACTCCCTCGCCCGCCCACACCCACACACACAGACACACATGCAAACTCATTCAAGTTGACCCTGTTCAGTGTCAAGTAGGGAAAAATCAATTGTCGCTGTGCATTCAGTGATTTTACAACTGCAAAACAACAGCAAAACTCATCGCAGCTGGCTCGCAACAAGGTGGTTTTGAGAGCAATTGGGCCATAGTTTTGATAACAGCTCAAGTGTGTCGCAATTGGTTGGTTTGCCTTTGTTTTTATTTCAAATTAACACACGTTTTGCATTGATATAGCTATAAATGTATGGTTTTGACAGTGCTGCTCAAACTGTACAATCTAAATGGGGGAAAATATGTGTTTAATGTGTGGCAGTTTGATGGCCACTGCATTCGTATCATATATTCGTAAAGGTCAAGCGTCAAGTTCAGCTAATTTGAATAACTTCGCGAGGTGAATGCAAAAAAATGATATCTTCATTGGGTAAATAACGTCCACAAAATGTTACTCAAAACGAAAAACGTTGCTCTTATTTGGCAAGTAAATATTTACTGTGTTTTCTGTTTGCTTTCTAGTTTGTTGTTGAGTTGCAAATCTGCAAATATATGTCAGTCACAAAAAGATAAATAAAAGATCATCCACAAAGCATCCGCTTATCACCGTCGGATATGTATAAAGTTGCCCAAGTTGAGCTGGAGAATTATGCTGCAACACTGCCCCAAAGTGGATCACCTTTTGTTCAAGTGCCAACCATGCATCGAGTGAAAACGCTTGAAAGATACGAGAATTGAAATCAAAAAGTGGAATCACTTATAAGCGATACTCTTCAGTTTTAACTAGTTTATCGCTTATACTCTTCAATTTTAACTAGTTTACAGATAGTAATTTAACTCTACTCTATTTATATAAATATTTGGTAATTAGTAAAAATGATTCACTTTTATATGGAGTAGATTTAATTTACTACCTGCTTGCCTACTATCAACATGATTTATCTCAAGTGAGATCACAAGTCAGCAAATGTTTGCCACTTATTTTAAGAGCATCTTTACATATCTTAATGTGAAGTTTATATTGGGGTTTAGATAATTACTAGATTCCTATGCGCTTACTCACATTTATCTACTACCTTGAAATGTTTGTCATTATTTGCTACAGTCTTGACATATTTGTCAATTGGATTTTAAGTATTTAGTGTTTTCTATTAGCTTGACTCATTTGTCAGTTGTGTTTTAAGTATTCACTCTTCTCATTGACAAGCTTAGAAAAGTAACTCAATTATGGGTTGGGTATAAATTTGTATACATTATGTTTGAGAACACATTTTCAATGCAATGCCCCAAGAAAGTTCCGATACAGGCGAGGAAGACGAAGGGCCAGACAGATCGAGTGATTCCACATCTTTTGATGCAATCAGCTCCTCCAATTCACTAAGTGAAACGTCTGATTATGAGCATGAGGATCGAAAGCAGGAGATGAAGGCTGTTAATCTTCCCACGGATTCGTACAACAAACTGGCAGATCGAACATTGTTCTCGCTGGGATATGCAGGGCCAGAGAAATGGCCCCAGCCGGAGACGGGAGAAAGACGCCTCTCTAAGCCAAATCTCTACGAGCTGCTGTCGGAGCTGATGCGACAGGGTCGAAGAACGAATGCTGTGATTACAATTGCCGATAGTCGCCTGGAAGTCCATCTTATTGTGCTGCAGTGTTTCTCTGGTCTGTTCTGTGATTTGAACAGCGAGGCAAGCAGCATCGATGTGGAGCTGCCCTCGCAGTGGGTGACGCCACGTGCCTTTCACCTCGTCTACAATTGGATGATGCAGGATGAGCCGCTTCTATCTCGTCACGGATTGCTCGAAGTGCTACGCGCTGCCAGCTTTCTGCGTGTGCCCCAATTGCAGAGGCAGTGCGAGATGTGTCTGACGCATGGCATACAGGAGGACGCAGCAGCAATGCTGTATCTCGAGGCGCGACTCTTGCGGATGGAACGTGCTCAGCGTCCCCTACTGCAGCGAGTGGGTTGCTTTTTCCTTACCCTCGTCGCCTCCCAGGAGTTCCTTCAGCTGTCCATGCCTGCCGTCTGTCTGCTGCTCAGCTCAAACAGCATTGGGGTCAACGCCGAAATGGAGGTCTTCATGTCCGCCGTTCGCTGGCTCAACTATCAGTGGCCCAAACGACGTCCTCTTGTTGCCCAGCTCATCTCTTGCATCCGTTTTGCTCTGGTGCCGCCGTGGTTGCTTATTCGACTGCAGGATCGGCATTCCAGCTCCATGCAGCTGCGACACATTACCACACAGCCGGAGGTGCTGCATCAGATCCACGATAGTCTCGGTTACACCACAGCCCGTCTGCGCTACGGCTCCGATCGAGATGCGTTCAAGTTGCACGTGAAGCGAAGTGGAATGCAGCCACCATTGCAACGCAATTGGATCTATGATCGATTGTGCAGCTACCATCATCGCCTCAATTGCCAGATAAGCGAGGAGTTCACATACGAGTCCTTCTTGCACTATCTGAATTGGTTGCAACAGCAGCACAAGGACCACTGGCGCTCTCTGGAGCCGGTGAATGCCTCGGGGGATTGTTGTCTCTGCAGCCAGCTGATAGCTGACAGCAAACAACCAAAAGGAACGAAGGGTGTATAGCTTTGTAAGAAGAGATTGTACATATATATATATATATTTAATATTATAATTTAATACATTGTAATCATTTATTTGACATACAGCAAAACAAAAAGATTATTTATTGTTTCGTTTCTTGGTCAATTGCAGTTCCTCAACATACTGGCCCTCAGCGTTTTGGCTGTCATTTGGCGCAATCCGGATATGATGGATGAATTGGAGAGTGGTAGTCATGATTTCACCGTCGATCTAAATGCACCCGCATTGCCCACACCGTTGAGCAAGGTGGATCCGCCCTATGCGTATCGCGATCATTCGCTCAACTATCGTAAGCGTTACCGTAAGATGCCCCCGGGTCCCCTCCAAATATTCGTTAAATACTTGTAACTAATTTAAAAATACTTGCAGAGAACTTTGATATGGGTGGACTGGTATGCACCTGCATGATAGCCATAACGCTGATGATGATCTACGGCACCATCAAGGGGAAACCCTCGCACTTGCTGCCGTTCTTCTGTCTGCAACTGTTTGACTTTGCCATCACCACGTGAGTGACAATAATCGTTTTCGATTCCCGTTTGCATATATTATATTCTTCTCTCTTTTGTAGATTGACCGCCGCTGGTTACCTCTGCTATCTACAGGCCATTCATCGTATTATTGCCGAATCGCATCGATTGCCGTGGCGCGAGAAGTTGCTGGAGTTACCCCCTGAGGAACTGGTTGTCGTTGTTCTCGTCGTCTTTGTGTGCATTGTGTTTCTAAAGGCGTATTGCATTGGCATTGTTTGGCGCTGCTACAAATACTTGACACTGCGTCAGCAGCATTTGCGTAGTTTGCTGCCCTGCGTCCTGCCTGAAATGGTTGTCCATGGCGGGGTTGGTGGTGCCGGTGGCTTTGGTTCGGAGGAGCAGCGAGCCTATTCGACGCTGCTGCCCAATTATGATGAGGCGATTGCTCAGTACTTGAAACAGGCACCGCCGCCATCCTATCAGGTGGCCATGTCCAACTATCAAAATGAGGATGAGGGTGCCTCTGGCGGTGCTGGGCATGCTGCTGCAGATGGTGGCAGCACTCCGCTCTTTGTGGCACTCGATGGGCATGCTGTTAGTGCTGGCGCCGCCAATCTGGATGACAACCTGGACAACAACAACGACACACCCAACAACAACAATACGGTTCATGTGAATGCCAACACGCCACCAATGCGACGCAGTGAGCAACCCAATTCTGGCGATGCCACCGTCTCCGACGATAATAATGAGAATGTCGGTGATAATGATGAGGACGAGGACGACGATGATGATGATGATGATACGGATCTGGAGATCATCGATGCTGGCGTGGATATAGTCGAAGGTGTGGTGCCACCACCGCCCTACAACAACGATAATATTGCCGAGGCTCAGTTGCAGCAGATGCAGATGGCGCTCAATCGTCAGGTGAACATACCCGGTCAGGTGGTGCCTGGGCACAACGAGAGTCAGGCCTAAGTTGTGATTTCATTAAGGTTTTTTTAAATTATTATTATTATATTGTGTTGTAAGCAAAAAACATAACACAAAAAAATCTCCCCTTGCGACCGAAACGCTTCTTCCTCTCTTGCCCAAAAACACAAAAAGATAGCACAACTTTTCGACTTCTGTTTTCTAAATAAAATGTTCCAAACGTGCAGTAGATATGTATTCTACCAATTCAGATTCGTTTTTTTAAATACATTATCCGCACACTTGTACGCATAACATATACAAATATTGTATGTATTAACATATTGAGAAAAAAATGTTTTTTGAATATTATCAATGAAAAATACAAAAAATTACCTTTAAAAATGTAAACCACTAGCAGTCGCATATTGTTGTTTAACGTAAAAAAAAAGAAGAAAAACAAAAGGATACCCTCTCATATATAAACGAATATTCTATGAATTTTGCTCTAGACATTTCTATATATATACTTATGCTTATGTCGTGCATATTTGGCAACAATTTTTGTTATAGATTTGCCACTCGTATGTATTTTAAGTCTATTCCGTTTGGCACTGGTTTTGAATTTAGTTAACCTGTGGATTTTACCTAGTTAAGCGCAAGTAGTTGTTACCAAAAAGAAAAAGAAAATGAAAATAAGAGAGTCAAGCGGAAGTTACAAGAATCTAAATGGGAAGTCTTATCTATGCAAACGTATGTTCTACTTATGTTTTAAGCTAACTTGTAAGCCTCTGTGCATATTTGATACATGGATACATAATTATATATATAACAATGTGTACAATTTTTTGTTGTATTTTACTTTGTGTATCAATTATTAAATTACACTGGCATCCAAGAAAATAAAAAAAGAATAAGAAAAAATCAATATTTTATGTATGTACAATATCTATATGTATACTGTATACTAAATATGCAGAGATATTCTAATAAATATTAGTTTAAAATACAACAATGAACTGAGTTTTGTAATCTTGAGCTAGCATAAAGTGATACACGCTTCCATTATCAGTTCTCACTGGCCACATGAAGCGATAATACAAATATTTATAGAGGACTTCATTCACATCAACAATATTTAATAGACTTGAATAAATAATTCACTTATAAGAGTGTGATTTCAAATGAGATAAGATTTTGGCAGCATGGTAATATTACGGAATTTCGAGCGTCACGTGTTGATGCAAAAGAAAAAATAAAATCGAATTTTATTTTACTGCTATTAATTTCTTTTAGCTAATGGATTACAATCTGATCGAACCAAAAGCGTTATCAGATTATGGCTATATTATTTGCCATTTGCCATAAATTGATCAGTTATCTTCATTGCATATTTATTAATTTTCATAAATCTCTTTTAGAATGCCAAAGATACTCGTATCAGTGGCATATTGTGAAAGTACCCCATCTGATCTTGGCCTATATAAGCACAATCATTCTTGAAGTTGGCATTAGATTCGATCTATAATCATGGCAAACAAAGCAATCATTCTTCTGGCAGTGCTCCTTTGCGCTCAGGCCGTCTTTGGTGTCGCCATCGTCAGCAAGGCGCAGTGGGGTGGACGCAACCCCACGAGCAAGACAACTCTGGCCAACAACCTGGACTACGCTGTGATCCACCACACCGCCGGCAACTACTGCAGCACCCGGGATGCCTGCACAAGGGAGCTGCGTAGCGTCCAGGCCTACCACATGGACAGCTTGGGCTGGCCCGATATTGGCTACAACTTCCTGATCGGTGGTGATGGCTCTGCATACGAGGGTCGTGGCTGGAACGTTATGGGTGCTCATGCCACCAACTGGAACTCCAAGTCCATTGGCATCTCCTTCCTGGGTAACTTCAACAATAACAAACCAACCGCTGCCATGATCAACGCTGCCAAGGGTGTCCTTGCCGATGCCGTCTCCCGTGGTCAAATCAGGTCCGGCTACACCCTGTACGGTCATCGCCAGGTCAGCGCTACCGAGTGCCCCGGCACCAATCTGTGGAACGAGATCCGCACCTGGTCCAACTGGAGGGCCTAAGCTATCGCTTGCTCAAAATGGCATGCATAATTTGCTGCATAATAAAAATTCATAAAAATATACAATACACGTTATATACTACATTTGTTAAAAGCATTCCTTGGATACTTTTCTTTATTGGTAATAGGTTCTTCTTTGATGATTATGAAGTCGGAATTAGATAGCCAAAAACCCATAAAGTCAAAGGCTTACTCACATTTATCTGTTTCTAATAAATATTAGTTTAAAATACAACAATCAGCTGAGTTTTATAATCTTAAGCCAGCATAAAATGATAAATGTTTCCATTTATTATAAGTATTATTAACGGCTCATAGCAATAACAATATGTTTTATACTACAAATATTTATAGCGGACTTCATTCACATCAACAATATTCTATAGATTTGAAATAATAATTCAGAGAGGAGATAAGATTTTAGCAGCACTTATGTGATGAAAGTGCTTAGCATGGTAATTTCACCGAATTTTAAGCACAAAAAATTTGTTGCACAAAAAAAATTAAATTTTATTTTATGTTATTATTTTATTGGTCTACTGACAAGACATTGTAGACTTAGAAGTCACCTAACTAAACTAAGTATTTATTGTAGCGAACTATGCAGGTTTTGTGAAAGCGAGGAAGAATCCTCAGAGCACGTTCTAGCAGAGTGTGTCGCCTTAACTAGAAAAAGATGCAGCATCCTAGAAATGCATGGTATCAGCTGCACAGACATAGAAGCCCGCAAACCAATAAAGACTCTTGATGGAGGAGCTATAGGCTCAGAAGGGGACATAATAGATCTGGTAGGTCACAGTGTAGGTATCCCATAATAATAAAAAATAAATAAAGCTAATGGAATACAATCTGATGGAACCAAAAGCGTCATCAGTTTATGGCTATATTCTTTGCCATTTGCCATAAATTGATCAGTTATCTTCATTGTAAATTTATTAATTTTCGTAAATATCATTTAGAATGCCAAAGATACTCGTATCAGTAGCACATTGTGAAAATACCCTATCTGATCACAACTAAATCACGACCGGCTATATAAGAGCTAGCATTCTTGAAGTTGGCATTAGATTCGATCTATAGTCATGGCTAACAAAGCAATCATTCTTCTGGCCGTGCTCCTTTGCGCTCAGGCCGTCTTTGGTGTCGCCATCGTCAGCAAGGCGCAGTGGGGTGGACGCAACCCCAAGAGCAAGACAACTCTGGCCAACTCCCTAGCCTACGCAGTGATCCACCACACCGCCGGCAACTACTGCAGCACCCGGGATGCCTGCACAAAGGAGCTGCGTAGTATCCAGGCCTACCACATGGACAGCTTGGGATGGGCCGATATTGGCTACAACTTCCTGATCGGTGGTGATGGCTCTGCATACGAGGGTCGTGGCTGGAACGTTTTGGGTGCTCATGCCACCAACTGGAACTCCAAGTCCATTGGCATCTCCTTCCTGGGTAACTTCAACAATAACAAACCAACCGCTGCCATGATCAGCGCTGCCAAGGGTGTCCTTGCCGATGCCGTGTCCCGTGGTCAAATCAAATCCGGCTACACCCTGTACGGTCATCGTCAGGTCGGCTCCACAGAGTGCCCCGGCACCAATCTGTGGAACGAGATCCGCACCTGGTCCAACTGGAAGGCATAAGCTGTCGCATTCTTAAAAATGAATTTAAAAAAACTGCTGCATAATAAAAATTAAAAAAAAAATACAATACACGTTATATACTACATTTGTTAAAAGCACTCATCGGATACTTTTCTTTATTGGTATTAGGTTCACAGTCGGAAATAGGTAGACAGTTTTTTATAGACAATAAGCCCTGAAGTCAAACGCATTGAAATCATATTTGTGAAATCTAAAACACCTTATGAAAGAGTATTTCATAACAAGCTTTCTTTCTAAGATTCAGTCAACTATAATTTTATTTGAAAACAATTTCTGCATTAAAAAATCTTAAGCCTGTATTGAAAAATAATATATAATAAACATAGCGAGGCTGCCAAGGTTAGTCAACTGTACAAATATTTTTGTTGTGTTTGTATATCGATGAAAATGAAACTTGTTGCAGTTTTCATTATTTATTTTTATGTGTAGATTAGATCACTACGTCATTGTTTTTATATAATATGTTTACTGCAATCAATCTTTGCATTGTTTACCATTACTTTGTTAGCAGCAATCATAAATTGATCATATCACTATCTTCAACACTAATTTATTGCATGTACTTAATCTAATTAAGTAGGCAGCATTAAGTATGTCATAAACTTTGATACTAGTATATGGAGCCTGACCTGCGCTGTTGCTGATCACACCACCGGAAGCTTCCCGAACAGCCAGAACAATTATGCAATGGGGACGGCTTGGCCAGATATTGACCATAACATTCTGATCGGTGGAGTTGGGTAGAAGTCTAAGTGGGTCGTGGCTGAAATGTTGTCGATGCTCGTACCACCAGTTAGAACTTAAAGTCATGGTTAACGATAATGCTGCCAAGGGTATTGTGCTTATACCATTTGACGTGGTCAAATCCTCTCCACTTGTATTCTGTGCGATTATCGTCAGGTGGCCACCATTAAGTGCCAACAAGTGGAACAAGATCCACAGTTAATTCAACTGTAGGGCGCAGACAATCTTTTCGCTTGATAGCAAAATAAACTATATAAACTATATACATGTAGAACAATTATATTTTCGTATTTTGGGCACTATAATTTTGTCATGAAGTATGAACCGAGCCAGTTTCCTTGAGTAAATAATGGGGAGCTCCGTCATATATCAAATATAATACCGAAATATTGAAATATTCTCCTAGAGAACTCCGATATGTACTAAATATTATGGACTTCAGGGTAAGCAAAATATATTTTAATTAAGATCTAAATTTTAATTTCTTTGTGGTATTATTTGTTTTATTTATTTATTTTGTTTACGGCAAATCAATTATCTTGTTGTTTATGAAAAGAGTGGAATACAAAAAGCACCGCCGAAAAGTGCTCTTTTTGCGATACGAACACTTGTTCCATAGTAAAGCAAGAAACGTCATGGGATTTGTATCTGTAGTCACTGATCCGCCCTCCATCAATCCCCCGCGCCTTCAGCCTCTCAACATGTGGACGCCCTTGGCTATCTCTATAATATTCTATTTTATAGTATAAATATTTTGTTCTTGGTAATCTGTTGTCGTAGTTGTAAACAAGCTGTGATTTGTGGGGAAGTCCCCTGGAAAAAAACTCCCGAGGAGTGTCATTAGCATACACTCAGAGAAAATGATAATTTTCCATATGAACCTGCGGTTATGTTCGGAATTTAACTCCATAAAAATTCATTGAATCTTTGCTTAGATTACGTAGGCGTATGTTGTATTTAAAATCGTTTTTATTTTGCAGCAATTTTTTGAGTGGTCAGCTTATGCCTTCCAGTTGGGCCAGGTGCGGATCTCATTCCAGATATTGGTGCCGGGGCACTCCGTGGAGCCGACCTGACGATGACCGTACAGGGTGTAGCCGGATTTGATTTGACCACGGGAAACGGCATCAGCCAACAAATCCTTGGCAGCCTTGATCTGACCTGAGGTGAGTTTATCGTTGTTGTAGTTGCCGAGGAAGGAGATGCCAATGGACTTGGCGTTCCAGCTGGTGGCATGAGCACCCATAACGTTCCAGCCACGACCCTCGTAGACATTGCCATCACCGCCAATCAGGAAGTTGTAGCCAATATCGGCCCAGCCCAAGCTGTCCATGTGGTAGGCCTGGATGTTCCTCAACTGGACCTCACAGGCGCTACGGGTGGTGCAGTAGTTGCCGGCGGTGTGATGGATCACAGCGTATGCCAGGGAGTTGGCCAGAGAGGATTTGCCATTGGGAGCACGTCCGCCCCACTGCGACTTGCTGATGATGGTGACACCAAAGACGGCCTGAGCGCACAGCACCACAGCCAGAAGAATGATTGCCTTATTCGTCATGATTTCTAATTAATTATTGCATTATTAGCTACAGCAGTGGCGCTATTTATACAACTCTGGCAGAGTGTCTTATCTCTGTCGATTAAAGAGACAATTGTTGCGCACGAATATAACCCCCTCTTCATATGAGAGGGAATTTCGATCTGATACGGAGACAATCAGAAGCACTTGTTGATACTCGCGTGCCTTTTTCAAGCGTTGGTCAAATGAGTTTGTAATCTGGGCAAGTGCCATTTGATTAATTTGTAAAAATACCCAAAATCTTAAGCAAAATCAAGGACGTGCAAAGGGGGATTACATTATATTATTTTGAAAAACAATCAATTTTTGTAATGCCTCTCGAAAGGACATCCATTTTATCATTGCGAAGGAGAGTCTATTGATTCGAGATATTTCTAGAATTTTGATGGATCAGAATAGATCGAAAACAGTCGGAAAAGCAACTTAAAAACATTAAATTTTCTCATTTGTTTCTTTGCGTATCCTTCAAATTGTCCTAGTAAATCTTAAAAGTGTTTGGTTCTTAGATAAATATTGATTTGCTTACAATTAAATTAAATTATTTAAATACAATACAACAACTGTCAAATCATATCACAAATAACAAGTAAGAATACAGAAGGGAAAAAATGGCGATAATTGCGCGCCAAATGAATATCGTACACTATCGCAATAAAATATCGATAGAAGTTAAAAAACAAAAACAATCGATGGTTACGATATTGGCTCGATACTTTTACTGCGCTAGTAGCCGGCAAAAGCGAGATGAGAATTTGTTAACAAGATTCTTTCTACTGCTTGAGACAATGGAGGATTTGCGGCCATTGAATAACTGCGAGGTGTTTAACCAAATACGCATTGAATTCACCAATTACCATCAGCATACCAAGAAACTAAATAGCTTCCTCTACTTTGGTGGTTAGTTTTGTTGTCGGATTTGAAAATCATTGCGGGAAATAAACACAGTTTTCCCCACAGGCAACGAGCAGCATATCAAGAACTTATCGCAACGCCTACTCAATGTGCTTCTCGAGCATGGCCTCGTTCAGCAGGATGAGGAGGATGAGGACGCAATCGCAGTGCCTGCAGCTGGAGCAGATCTCGACCAGCTGCGTGGTGCCCTCATGTATCTGGTGCTGAACAGCGCCAATGTCGACGGCAGCATTGAGAAGGGCGACTTGGGCCGCTGTAATCCGCAGTGTGTACACTTGCTGCAACAACTGCCGGCACCGCTGCCACAGCTCGTCACTGTCAGCGTGGCGCTGCAGTGCGGCTTGCATCAGCAGCTGCTCGAGTTAATCGCCTGTAGTCCCCACTGGCTAGCATCGCAGTACTTTGACTGCTTGAACGATACGCTGGCTCATCAGGTGCTACGCACTAAGCGGCACACTCTGCCACTGATCTGTGGCGCCTTGAGCGCTGTCACCAAATCAATTTGCTACGGCAACGCCTCGAATGCTTTTCTCATGGACAATGCCATGCGAATGCTGCAGCGGAATCTGCTGGACACGGAGGAACGGCAACAGTCGCTCGGCTCTCGCGCCGCTCGTAATCGCTATCTGGGCGAGGCAATGCGTCAGCTGCTCGATGTACTGCTGGAGCTGATGCATGCCCTTGATGGCTCCAAGCTGCTCTTGCTGCCCGATTATGCGCCTGTCTATGCACTGCGTTCGCCCACAAAATGCAAATTAGAGTCCAACATCAAAGTGGAAGCCACCACTAGCGATGACAAGTTGCGTCTGTTTGCTGGCAAACTTATGGATTGGGTGCAGCGACTGCTCGTCTGCATCAGTGTGGACACGTACATGGCGTGGCAGGAGTTAGATTCGGGCCAGTTGCTCTTCCATCTGCAGGCGCACATCAGCAATCAATGCGGTGAACTGGTGCCACTGCTCGTCGAGGATGAGACACTGAAGACGCACTGCCTTCGCTCAATGCTCGACAATTTCACGCAGGGCGCGCAGAGCTTTGAGCAACGGCTACAGATGCTTACGCTCGGCGAGCTGCTTGGCTTCCTCGATGGCGAAATGGGGGATGTGAGCACTGAGCAGCTGCACGCCGCACTCAATGAGCTGCTTCAGCGCAGCATTTGCTTTGGCAACGACGAGTGCGTGGAGAGCATGGCCAAGCATGTGAAACTATTGACGTCGTCGCATGCCAAGCTCATCTTGGATCATTTGTCTGAGGTGCTTTTAGTCCAGGCGCAGCAAAGGCAGCTAGCGGACTTTGAGGAGGACGAATTGGATGATAATAATGAGATTTATGGCAAGCTGTTGAGCCAAGTGCTGATGCCCATATATATGGCATGCTCCGATCCCATGGAAAAATTGCAGCTGCTTTGCTATCGCGACAAGTTGCAGCTATTGGAACACTACAATTTTGAGGAGGAGGATCACCATTCGCGCCGCATTTACTTCTTCAATCAGCTAAGCGATTCCATTGAGCAGTTTCCGCTGCACACATTCCTCGATCTCTGCTGGGAGCAGCCGGCACAGACCTGGCTATCGCTTGCTCAGCTGGCCATGATACATGGCGCCTACGCGCACCTCTACTGGCACGTCGCCAGTGTCCAGTGTGCCCCGCATGCCGTTCACCACGTGCCGTTCACGGTGCAACAACTCATGCAGGATGAGCGTCTGCTCAGCCAGAAAACGGACTTCGATTTGCTGCTGGCTCTCTATGAGCATCCAGTGATCCTAAACGGCATGCAGTATCGTCGGCTGCATCGCCAACGCCAACTGACCCTCAATTTGAATGTATCCGCAGTGCCCTACAGCGACACTGAGTTGCAGTCGGCTCAGTCCAATTATCTATCGGCCTGTGCCAATGGCCTGGCCAAGTGCTCCAAGTCGAACAACTATGTTGCTATGGAGAAACTGATGCAGACACTGCTCCGTCTGCCACAAGTCGAGCAGCGCCTCATCAAATGCAGCCGCAAGTGTCTGCAATGGCAGCGCCATCGTCTGTCGCAGCTGCTGAAAGGCGCCGCCAGCACAGCAAAGGAGGATGAATTGAAACAGACACGCGGCAAGATTCGTCTGGCACGCACATATGTGACGTTGCATGGCAAATTGTGCATGTGGCGCCTAAGCAGCTGGCCACTAATCTCACAGTTGATTCTCTGCATGGATCGGCTGCGTCCACAGTTGGACACCTTTGAGCCTGCGCGCCTTGCTGTCCTCGATCTGGTCATGAAATCTTACATCAAAAACATGCCGCTCTCATTCCTCCATTATCCAGGTGAAGATTAACATAAATATATGTCTATCTATATTTATATATGTCCATATGCTTTACAGATTTGGTTGGCAAAGTTCGGGATCTGGTGACCAAGTCCCTGCAGCACAAGCACTTGTGGCAGGATGAGCACTTGGCACTGCTGCTAGATACCCATAAGCCGCCGCAGGCCAAGGAGTGCGCTACGGTAAGGATAACCAAATAATCGATTCTGACACAGGAGAGAGGATCACAAGACCAACTTTCATGTTTCATAAAGCACTGTACTAAATCATTTCAAATTTTCATGTTTATTATCCGATCCTTGTTGTTCAAATGTACGAAAAGAGACATATATTAATGTAAACACAAATAATACCAGTTTTGTTTATGTTTTACAGCTCCTGGCGCAGGCTTCGTCGGTGGAGGCCATAAAACTGCTGGGCAACGCCACTCGTCATGGGATTGACCGAGTTGTTATGGAACAGCTGGCGCAGGCTGTGGATTTAATTGATTCACCTAACTCGCTGAATGCCTACGCCTTCCTCTTCAAGTGTTACATGCACGCCTTTGAGCAGTGGCTGATTAAGCCGTCCAAATCCGATAATTATCCTTCCCTCATCGAACATCTGCTGCAGGCACCCAAACTTCAAATGACACAAAATCTGCTGGCTGCCATCGATAACTTTAAGATCTTGTTGAAACCGTCATGCGGTCTAATGGATAAGTCAAAAATACTCGAATATGTTGCCAAAAGTCTCACAACTCTAAATATTTCCATAGAAATTGATAACATATACATGGAACACGTAATGAATATGTAGGATTATATACATAGATATGTACGGCACAAAACTTATACTGTTCCTAGAAATTAAAATAAATAACCTTGAATTATTTGTAGTTTTTATTTACTTCATTAATTTTAAAAATTGTCTTATCACATATTACCTATATTGACCTGCTTTTTTCGATTGGGATGAAGATTGTTCCTTAATCAAGTACATTTGAATAGCTAACCACCATGTTTAGTAATAGTATGCTTTGCAAACAACATTCAATCAAATACAAATTCGTTAAGTTCAGGCAATAATTGTGTATCAAAATGAATAAGACCTTTTCAATACAGAACGTTTACAAAGAGGTGAGATACTGGATATGCTATTTGTGACCTATCCTAACGTATTCCAATATTGCATAAAGATGAGCTGCTTTGTTGTAGAGAAGGTGGACTACAAAGATCGTTGCCTCCTAGTTAAATCTGCTGAGCAATGCAGTCGTGTTATGGGCGTATTCAAGTACTATCACCTTATGTATTGCACTGTAGAGATTTCAAACAAACCTTTAGAGTCGGCTGTAATGTGTCTACTGATGCTAATTGCGATATATCTTTTGATTTTTGTGGCACACATAATTGAAATATAGTAAGTTCTGTTCCAAAAACAAAAAAAATCACACATCATTCTCATAATTTACACAATATTTTCACATCAGTTTCACTCCAGCACTGAAAATTGTATCCGTTAAGCTGAACATGAACGAGTATCTGGCGGGCATAACCGTACTGACCTTTTGCAATACTTTGCCCGATTTAATTACCAATATAATGCATATTCGCCAGCATGCACCACTCTTTACCATATGCATCAGTAATTCTTTAGTTATCATCCTATTAAGTGGCGGCACTGTTAGCTACATGAGATCATTTAAAGTCAATGGTGCATGTGGACTGCGCGACCTTTTGTGTCTGATATTTTCTGCTGAAGTACTTTACTATATAATATTGACAGGGGAAAGTTTGGACTTAAATGAATGTATAGGTAAGCCGCACGACTACTTTAAATTTATATTTCAATATGAATACACATTTATGTTTTCTTGCAGGTCTTATGATGTTCTATGTTTTATACTTGTTGATCAATGTTGTGGACTTAATGTTATTGCGTGCGTACATAAAAAGTATGTGAGTGACATACAAATTTGAAAATAATCCTAATATTAATCATTTCACTCACTCGTTAGAGCTTAAATTGCAAATAAGTAAGTTAAAGAGGACGCCTCATTCACCTTATAGGGATAACTTAATAGCGGAGATTAAAGCAAAGAATAGAGAGCTTAGTCAGGACAATCACTTGATAATACACACCAAACAATCTTCCTTTATTCGTTCATCGAGTAAACACGGCATTTCAACGCTAACACCAGATTCGCACACCAATGAGATTAATATAAAAGAAACTCGTGATATTCTGCATAATTCAAATAATCCGAAGAATTTGTTTTTATGCTCCGAGTTCCTTGAGGCTCTAATCCCCATCAATATTGGCGAGTTTAGACGCAAAGGCTGGTGTGGTCGCTTATTCTGCATTTTAATATCGCCCATTGTGCTGCTGTGCACTATTTTTGTGCCTTTGGTGGACTACACTCATGATAAGCATGGATGGTGCAAGCTACTCAATTGCCTACAGATTGTTATTATTCCATATATGGTTACCACCGTGACTAAAGGTATCACTCAGGTATCAATCACTTAAACATCAATATAACTATTACTATTTTATCAGGATTGATTGACGGTAAATACCAGGACTGGTATATGACATTCGACTATAGCATTGCCAAATGGACCTTTATTGTAACCGTGCCTTTGGCCATATTCGTGTTGATCCATTCCCGCACGGATAAGCCGCCCAGCTATCACGTCGTAAGTTTAAATATCTCAATTTGATCGAAATACTAATCCTGTGTACAATAGTTATTTATTGTACTCACTGCTACTACCTCAATAATGTTTATTACAATCGCTGCCAACGAGCTAGAGGTGCTCTGTGTTATATCTGGATTCTATTTTAACGTAAGTGAAAGCTTTGTGGCAGCAGTTGTGAGATCATTTGCCGGGGGACTTGCTGATTTGATAATGAATCTGGAGCTGGCTCTGCAGGGCTATGAGAGAATGGCATTTGCTGCCGTTCTCGCAGGACCAATATTTAGTAATTAATTATTTAATTATTTAAAGTGCATTCAATAACAAGCTGTATTGCAATTCAGGCATTACATTTGGCATGGGTATATCCTGCATTATCAATCAGCACTGTTCGGCCAAAGGCTCTTTGTATTGGCTGACAGAGGATCAAGGACAAAACGCGTTCATATTCTTTATGCTGGTCGTTTCCACAACTCTGGCCTGGAACTTGATGTATAATTTCTGTGCCCGACGTTCTTCGGGTGCTTATGCATTTATTATGTATTTCCTATTTATTTTATATGCTGTGCTCGTCGAGTGGAACTTGGTCCATGAATTCTCTGCTGATATCGCTGTTGAGCCGAAGTAAAGTTACCTCAACGTCTTAGTAATGCATATCCAATATCGACAACCATAATTAAGAGCAATAGTAGAGTTTTACAAACACAGTCAAACTGTTATTTACATTGTAAGAGTGCCGCGAAGAGTAATTACGTTAATAAAGTATCATAATTAAAATTCCAACCAAAAGTGAAAAATGGTTACACCTTTGACGCTGACATGAGGAAAAGCGTGAAGGTCTTAGACGTCCAAGACTTACCGTTCTCGTCGTTGGGCTCCTTTGAAAGGCAGTGAAGCGTTTTATGCAACGTCTGCCACGTTATCTCGGCTCTATTTAATTATAAAAAGCGTTCAACATAATGAAGAAAGCTCGTAGCAAAGGCAACGGCAACGGCAACGGCAGCTTGCCGTTAATTAGGGTTAAAGTGGTATGGAATTTGCTTCAGCGTTGAGGTCAACATTTAAAGCATCTAATTGATTGTCGGCGAGCAACAACGACTGACAACTAATTGGGTTGATTAAGCTAAAGCTAAGACATGCAAATCAAACGTAGACATTATCTTATGTGCCGAATGTAAAGTTTTCAGTGGCTGCCCAGAAATATAAAGCTATTCAAAACATTAGCATTACATTTAAGTGCAATTGCATATAAAACATAAACAAGTGCAGCACACTCCCGCATGCCAAAGAATAACGAAAAAAAAAAGAAATAAAAAATTAAATAAAAATAGAAGAAAAAAATGCACGGAAGAAGGAAGTAGTTGAAGCCAAATGCAAGCTTCAACTTCAAAGCGAATGCCCGCAGAATTCCGGCAGCAATAAAAGCACTCAAGTCCCATAGACTTCCTGCTGCTGCTGATGCTGCTGCTGATGCTGCTGCTGATGTTGATGCTACTGCTGTCTGTGGCACTTAATGTGACATGTTTTTGCAACAGTTTTCGGTTTTGTGCTCCAACTTCAACTCTAGTTGCAACTTCTGCCTTAACTCACCAGCACATTTGCCGAGCATAACAAGCGATACAGCTTAAGAGAAAAGTGCTCGACTTACAGATTCTCTCTAGTACACTAATATGATTCAAATAATGGGAATAGACAATAAAAATTATCTCTATTTAGTTTTATAATTTTTATTGGAATTAATTTCTAATATTATTTTATTAATTTTCATTTCTTACCTTCTACCTTCTATATAGGGTATAAGAGGGACGGCAAAATTCAGTGTATAACTATCCATACTCCATGATACTGATGCATTTTGCTTGTTACCAAATTGTTTTATATTTTTGTCTGCTTTTCTCTCCTATTTTGCATATTGTGCTGACTGCAAATTGGCGCTGAAATGCCAACTTATATTTGCCTCCGATTCGCTTGGTGTGAAAGTCATCAAATATTTAATGGCCAAACAGGATTCACAATTTGAAATGTTTTTGTTTTATATTTGATTTATACTAAAGCTAAGCAAAACAAAATACACACCGACTAAACGAAATATGTAATTGTATTGCAATCCAATTTATATTGGCCACTAACTAACCCTTATTAGTTAATTCTTTGCATTGTACAAATTTAAGGCAATTAAAGAAATAATTTGTACCTGTAAACAAATTGGCACATCAATATTTAAAGAATTTGTGTTTTTTTTTCTTATGTATGAAAATCTTGGCAGCATTTATAAAACTTTTCTTGATAACCAACAAAAAGGTAGTTTGAAAAGAAAAACTATAGTTTTTTGCTGCTCGAACTGGAGTTGCAACAGTTTTCCAAGTTTCTTGTTACTTATTTTCCATTTTTTCATAAATATTTCCTGCAGGGAAGCGAAAAATAAGGAATGGAAACCATTCACTAAAATATATAAAATAAACTACTTAAAACGAGAGTCTTGTTAAGCTTTACACAGCACTGGCTAGCCAATAAATGGTCGCTTAGCATTATAACTCAATTAGCAGAGAAAGTACTTTGCGTATACGCAACGTTAGTCGGATGAACCGGAAGGAAGGAAGGAAGCTAGATGCAGCAGCGACATTTACAGAAAACAGCTACATATAAATTATGCAAGCCTTAATTAATGTGTGTGAGGGGGTGGAGGGTGGGAAGAGCAAATGGACAATGGTGGAGTGTGGTAAAAGTGCATTTGTTGCTGTTGTTATTGCCCACTTTACTGCACTCACCGATAGCCTCGTCTCTCTTTTCCCTGATTTGCATTTCAGTTTGCTCGGCTGAGCAGTCTCCCTCTCCCATCTCCGCGTCGCTCCTCTCGTACAGTGTCGTGTCCTCCTCGTTGTTCTGGTGTTTGTGTGCTAATGAATCTGCTGTTTGGTGCATTGGGAGCACGAGTATCGTCTGTGGCTTGGCTGCAATTAGCTCCGACTACACTTGACTTAACTTGACTTCCATTTTGCCACCGTTTGGCAGTCATCGTCAAAGAAGAGGTGCGAAAGATTGCATTGACATTGTGGACTTGTGGGCTTGTGGGCTTAACCAACTCAGGCATGTTCTGCGGAAATGAAGTCAAATGCATTTACATACTTAAAGAAACGTTCGATGAATAGAATAGAATTCAAACTTTTATATTACAAAACTTACTTTCAAACAATCGTCAGCTTAGTATTAATGAGTTTTTAACCGTAAGAAATCCGAAGACTAGTAAACATTAAGTGCTTTACAAATATCCAATTACAGTAATTTATTTCTATTAAAATCAAAATGGAAAACTTTCCTTTCCTCATTGAAATTAAGTATTCAACTTAAGTATTTAAGCTGCTACAAACTTTCAAACAATTTATCTTTTACATATACATTGAAAATACTGTCAAGCCATATAAATAATATCTTAAATTAAATCTTTATACATTTTGACAAAATTAAAAAAAGGAATTGTTTTTCGAAATGGTTGTACAGCTCTTTGAGCAGCCTAAGTCATCATCAGTTGATCAGCCGAACGTCTCCAAGGTCGCTCCAATCGAGGAAACACTAGGGATTGAAACAAGCACAGATTCACTTCTTGTCCCAAAAATAGGTTGGTTAACCTGTTTTTCCCGCATTTACGATTGGACGGACGAACTGGGCCAGTACGTGACAAGGTTTATCGCCTATCTGGCGTTTAAGATCCGACACTTATTTTACCCGAATCAACTTATTATATATGACGAGGCGGCCCTTTCACCGGCATCCAAGGCGCAGTTGCAAGTGGCAGGACGCAAGACACTTGTACTCGATCTAGATGAAACGCTTGTGCATTCATGCTATTTCGATCCAGAGACAAATAATTTGATTGGCTGTAATTTGATGCCCGAAACCGCTATTCCGGATTACGTAATAAACATACCGATTGTAGCCGATATTCAACCAATTGAATTTCAGATATTCAAACGGCCATATGTCGATGAGTTTCTCAGCTTTGTGGGCAGATGGTACGAAGTGGTCATCTTTACGGCCAGCATGGAGGCCTATGCCTCAATTGTGGTAGACAAATTGGATGATGGCCGCGGGATATTTCAGCGTCGTTTCTATCGACAACATTGTGTCTCCACCTCGTCATTTGTCAGCAAGAATCTGTTTGGGGTCAATAAGGATTTGGCAAGCGTTTTCATCATTGACAACTCACCGAGTGCGTATCGCGACTTCCCAGAGAATGCCATACCCATCAAGAGCTATATCTATGATCTCAATGATCAGGAACTGCTCAATTTGCTACCCTTTCTGGACGCCCTTCGCTTCACGAAAGATGTTCGCTCGATTCTCGGCCGGCGGCAATTACCAGCTCCATCATGAGCCAACATTAATAACAGCCCGATGTTAATTCCATTTAATACTGAATAAAGAGATGTATTCAGCATTTGTTTTCAAGGTGAACGAAAATTGGAATGCCTTGGTCTTTCTGTAGTTGTTAGCTATTAGTTGGAGTTAATTTCATAGAAATTTTCCCAATCGAAACTGTAATTAGCATTTAATGTTCACAAATCTTTAATACGTACTTAAAATGATGCATTACAATTCATCCTTTCTTCTTCCTTTACTTATAATACTTATGTAGATAAGTTCATTTTCGCTTTTTGTCATAATTCACATCCATCATCGTTTCAATTTCAACTTTTTGCCAATTTTACCAGTTTCATTATCACTGAAAACAAAAGGAAAAACTTTGCCAAAATACTGCTAAAGGGGTTGATTTTCATACCTGCTTGTTCCCCTCACGAAATCCAGCGACATCGATGAGTTATCGTGAATGTCGAACATTTAAGCACAATTGACTGCGCCTCGACGCATGGATGCAATGAAAATTTATGGCGACACAGGTGAAAGTTCTGACTTCCTTCTCCTTGCCTTCCTTGTTGTAGTTCCAGTTGCAGTTGCAGTTAAGGCAATCTGAATAAAATTTATTGCAGTTGCACTGCTTAAGCTACTACTCAGCTTAAGCGATTTGTGACTGCTTCAGATCTGGTTAGTATTTCACGAATTATATTGTATTATTTACCTCACAACTAACTTTTCAACTGCGAATCGGTAAAAAACACATGCAGCAATTAACAGTTTTTTGATTTGACTCATTTGCATGACTCACCTTGATTTGTCTAGCTTCACTACAGCAAAAACTAAATGAAGCTTTGACTTTTTTAGTGAAACTTTAGATTTTTGCTTTTTCCAATGATGACAGTATATATTTTACAAGAGTGCCTGGTTTATGTTACACAGACGGACAAGCTTCCATCGGATGCCCGCCATAAACTAACATAACCTTCTAAGCGACCCTATTCCATATAATTTTTTTAAAATTCTAACAGAATTTATTTTTTTTAAGATGGAATGCCAACACTTAAATAAAATTTTAAAAAATCTTCTAATTTTTGGTGTTAAACTTAATAGAATTTATTCATCGGTTTTATTTTAAGGCACTTGTATTTTTTGATACTTTGAAACTTTCGTTATGAAAACTACCAAAGAAAAAGTGTTGCAAATTTTAAACTGCAGAAATTGAGAGTAGGTGGAGCATAAATGCAGATATCGTATGTAGGAACTAACTGAGTCAGTGGCTGGTTGACTGATTGCTCATACGCACTGCTGGTTGCAACAGTGTCTGCAAGAGCGCTGCCACTATTTGCAATTCAATATCCATAGCCAGAGAGAGAGGGAGAGAGAGTGAGAGAGAGAGAGAGAGAGAAAGAGAGAGGGGGGAGAGCGAGACAGAGACAGACAGAATACGCTTGAAATTTTGTGCACAAATATTGACCGGCACATTTTATGGCACTACAAATCAAAATCCCAAACCGAAGCGATATAAATCAGACTGGGCGACTAGCAAAACTCATAAATATTCTCTTATTGAAAGAAATATTGACAATTTACACGAGCACAAAATTATTGTCTAAACAAAATTTGTATTTGGATCAAATCGCTGGCAGAGTGCAATTATTTTTATGCTTTTTGCATTTGACAAGTTTTTAAGCATCCACAACTTTTGAACCATTTTAATTTAATCTCAAGTTATATAGTGTAAAATGACTGTATAAATCTTGAAAATTTCATACCAATTTTTCGTCTCAATTGCTCTTAAGTCATTGTTTGTCATATTGATTAATCCTTACTTAGTATTTGTTTATCTTTGTCTTTATTTTTATCGTTTTCTTTTTTAAAATGTATTTTACTTTACTTCTTGAATATTTTTTTATTAAGTTTATGTGAATGAATGAATTCTTGAAAATACTAACACAAGTTTTTGTCCCATCAAATAATAAAAGTTATTTCACTGCTACTGCCCGTCTTAGTTGAACACAATGGTGGCCTCTTTCCAGGCCTTCTCCTCAATCCAGTTTCTTAAGTATGGCACATTCGTGTATGCGGCCGGAATGTCCTTCCTTGTACACTCAATGCCCCAGGAGACAATGCCTGCCAGCTGATAGCGATCCCGTTGCCCCTCCATGGTGCAGAATAAAGGTGATCCGCCATCGCCCTTACACGTGTCCTTGCCCTCCATGCCACCGGCACAAATGAAGCTGTCGTCCAACTTGTAACGTCTTCCAAGAATGGTTTCGCGGAGCAGCTGCTGGCATTGCCCATGCTCCAGGATAGGCAGATCAATGCGTTTAAGTATCTGTACCGTGAAATTTTCGCTGATATTGCGTTTACCCCATCCGATGGCAAAGCACTGAGCTCTGCGCAACTGTGCCTGCAGCTGTGAGCTGTCCGTTGGCGGCAGACAAAGCGGTTGGATATGTGGTGCCAGGTCAAACGGTTGCTCCAGCACCAGCAGTGCGATGTCATTATGAAAATTCAAATTGTTAAAGCGCTCGTGGCGAAACAAACCGCGCAAGCGGCGCGTCTGAAAGGGAAGCGGCTCGCCGTCGCTCCTCAAATCATATTCACCGGCACGGGCTAGCAGTGTGTCCGAGCTGTGGTTTGCCACATTGTGGGCACTGGTCAGCACCAGACGGGGATGTATCAATGTACCGCCGCAAACATAATTCGTCTGCATGTCCATCAGGGCAACCATCCAGGGGAACTCGGCAAAGAGGGACTCATAATCGTTATAGCCCACCAAAGCGTAGTAGAGTCCGCCGGGATTGCTGTTGCCACATCCCTTGTACTTGAAGTCCTTCACATTGAGTCGCACGGAACTCTCGCTCTCCACCAGCTGCAACAGCAGAAAGCAGATGGAAAATCAATTCATATAAATAATTTATTAATAATAAATCTTTCATAGAAGGGCAGAAGAAACAGCAAATAAGATATGTGCCAGAATGTAATTAATTAATGTAATGTGTGGGCAAGAAATCATTAGCTAATTAACAAATGTATATTATAAATATACTGTTAGCTAAAGCATAGTGTATATAGTGCTGTTTCTTCTATTATTAATTGTAATATTATTTGTATTTTGTTATAATATATATAATTATAATGCAATGATTATTTTGATTATTTATTATTATTTTTATTCTGCTTACCCTCTCATTCGAGGGGCAGCAAATCTCGAAAACTCCACAGCCAGAGTTGCTGGCATTATTTATTTTGGGCTGAATTATAAACCGACCATCTGTATTAACTTCGCCAGTTTTACACAGATGTCGGGGTACGCACAGACTATCCTGGTCACAGCTTTTGTAATCCAGTAAGGAGCTCAAATCGAACGGCTTCTCCGAGCTCTGACTCACCACATTGGTTGATTGTCTTGTTGATGTAAACTTTTTGCCACTCGCCTGGCTTCGGGCGTAGCTCTCCAGCTGCTCGTTGTCGCAGCAGACGAGGGATGTGCCGCACGCGCGTGTTAGACTCCGTGGTGCGAGTATTCCAGCACCGGAATCATCTGACTCACTGCAGCGTTGTTCCGTGACACAAACCTGATTTTCGTTACATAAACACAGCACTGAAGTTGCATAGGCGAGTATCAGCAGCGAAAGCATCTTTATTAAATGATCCATCTTGCGCATTATACAAAATATTCGCTGGAATATATAAAATATTCGCTGGAATACACAAAATATTCAGCTTCTAAGAATAATTAAGTAGGAGTGCATAGGTCGAATGTGAGTCGGTTATCTGCGCAGCTATTTATACAATTCTTAATAATACAATTTATATAATTTATTTCAATACAATTAAAAACTAAGTAAGAATGTTGTATTCGAGTAAGCTCAACCCTAAGCGATAAAATGCATATGGAATACGAGAACTTATAATCAAAATTTTAAGTCTCTCGCGTACATGTCTATATCGACTCTCTTTTACCCACTTTTATTGGGTGCAGGCTAAAAAATGTATCTCAAAGTAGGTTTCTTTTTATACTTCGATCCCGATTTGGATGACAGACGATGTTCCTTAATGATAGCCTTATTGATTTCCATACAGAAGATCACTCCCAAAATCTTCTTGGCCATTAAATTCACAATTTTGGAATTAAACTTGAAGGTAAATTAGTAGAAACCTTGTTAAGATTTAATGAGTAAATTAATCATTTTTCAATTGTCAAACCTCAACCCCATAAGAAGGTTCGTTGCGAATAGAAACACTGTTATCTAGAGTATTTTTCAGTAGGATATGCCCCACTGCAATGTTTCCACCAGTTTTAATGAACTTCCATGTGAACTTTGTACACTTTTGTTGATTTCGTATTGTATTGAAATTTCGAACTGCAGTTTTTAAAGTAATAACTTTAAAAAGTAAGAAATCATAAATATATAATATGAAATAAATTGAGAGTGAATATTAATAATATATACTCAGCTGTCTGGTAATTATTAAATGAGTAATCAATGTCGCACATAAATATTTACATGTTTAAAATACAGCTAATAAGAGCCACAACAAAATCAATTGCAATACACGATTTGTCCGAGTTACGTTCCGTAAGAGTTTGCGCATTCAACTGAGTTTTCCAAGTTCCAATTCACATATTTTATTAGCTTATCAACAGATTCAGCGCTCTGAACTCGCTGTGTGAACATTCTTCGTAAATTCATAAACTTAACGAAGAGAATTGGAAATAAGCTTAGCTTGAAGTTTGCACAGCTCTTTAGTTGATCCCACTAAATGTATCTGTCTCTCTCAGATGCTTATTTGCGCCTCAATTCAGCATCGCTCTCCATTTGTTCCCAAGCCGGTTCTATAATATAGCCGAAATCTGCCTGAAACAGCTCAGTTGCAATTCTACGCGCTTCGCATTATAATTGTGTCTGACAAAAATATTTATACGTGTATGTTGTACTTTAACGAGATAATAAAGTAAATAAATAAACATGCGTAGGCAGTAAACAAAAATAAAAACAACGAGAAATCAAATAATTAACAATATTATGGGCAACCGTCTGTCTGACTTAACTGAATTGCGGATGTGATCATAAAATGAGCTCGCCAGATAAAATCACATCAGTTAATTACTAGATACCAACGAGTATTAATTGCGAAGTATCTAAAAATAAATAAAAATAATATAATTTATTCAATGAATGTGTACAAAAATAGAATATAATATAAAGTCTATTAATTTATACGGACCTTTGGCAATCGACTGCATCTATTAAATGTAAATTTGAGAGATTCATTGATAACCTACGCACTGCAAGCGGGTTTTTCTTTGTTCTCACTGTGATGAATCTTATCAGAACGACTCTCTCTCTATATTTCTCTCTCTCTCTCTCTCTCTCTCTCTCTCTCTCTCTCTCTTTCTCTCTCTCTCTCTCTCTCTCTCAACTAAGAAAACTGCAACTTGTATTGTCTTATACTATATATTCCAGCTGATGGACGCCGTTAATTATTGGCTTCTGGCCTTTGTTATTGTGACTCAAAGTCAGCTGTTAAATGGCCAGCAAACCGCTGCATCGGTGTCAATTTGTGGCACAAAGGAATTGTGCGTCACCGAGCAGCGTTGCAATGAGACGGATGATTCGGGACGCGGTGAAATTGGGGTACGCCTCGCTCGCATCTGTGGTGTGGGTATGGTGTGCTGCGATCGCGAACAACTGCAAAGCTGGGACGCCACACAGAATATGACAGGATCTCCTAGACACACAAACACCGACATCAAAAACAAAGCAATCACAGGCACTGACTCTGAACCCAGCGGGTATGAGACCTGCGGCGTGAAAATGGAATGTGTGCCCAGGAGTCTCTGTCAAGACAATATCATCGTCGAAGATGGTCGCTTTCTAGTCAATCCACGTATTGGGGAGTTGCCCTGCACACGTTCCTTGCATCGCTGCTGTGCCGTAGATCAGCGGGTGAGTCATCCAAGTATATTCTGGGAAAAAATATATACTTCGTGCTTATTACGAAATTTATTAAATCAATTTCATAAATGTTGAAATAAATAAATATCTTATTTACATAGGATTTTAGGATATTTTCCAAGCATTTTTTTAAATTTTAGAAATTAATGAAAGAAAATATAAATTTGTTTCTTAAATGCAAAATGTGTTGGTAGCTCTCAAGACTTGTTGTATTTAAGGATTTATTTTTTATCGAAATTAAATTCTATACCCATTTTACTTCAGGTGGAGGCCAATGCGAGTCCGTACATTGCCAGGTTGGATAAATTCAAGTATCAGGGCTGCGGGCACAGCAATGTGAAGGGCCTGATTCCCGATGAGGATGGCTACGAGTACCCGATGGATGTATCGCTCTTTGGCGAATTTCCGTGGATGGTGGCAATCATGACTGGACGCAATCAGTATCTCTGTGGTGGCACACTAATCCATCAACAGCTGGTGCTGACGAGCGCTCACAATATACGCAACCAAACGGTGGACACTCTGATTGTCTTTGTTGGCGAATGGGATCTAAATGGATTCGATGAGCCATACGAGCGTCAGGCCCGCCGCATCAAGCAGATAATCAGACATGAGGAATTCGATCCTGGTTCGTATTTTAATGATATTGCCTTGCTGGTTTTGGAGACACCGATCGACATCCAGCCGCATATTCAACCGCTGTGCCTGCCACCGCCAGAGACGCCTCAGCTGCACAAAGATCTCCGCCAGGCTGTGTGCTATGCCACCGGTTGGGGTGCCCGTAATCTGAAAAGCATTAGGAACGAACATTTACTCAAACGCATCGAGCTGCCCTTGGTCAACAAAGATGAGTGCCAGGCACTGCTGAGAGTCACACGACTGCGAGAGCGTTTCCGGCTACGTCCAAGTTTCATCTGTGCTGGCGGCGTGAAGGGCCAGGATACATGCAAAGGCGATGGCGGATCACCATTGTTCTGCTCGCTGCCCGGACAGGCGGATCGCTATCAGATAGTTGGCATCGTTTCGTGGGGAGTCGATTGCGCCAAGGAGGATGTGCCAGCGGTCTATGCAAATGTGCCCTACCTACGCCCTTGGATCAATGAAAAGGCCAAGTTACTTGGCTTTGATCTGGAGTCGGTGGTTTAATTAATTAACCATTTAAAATTAACTTCCACTAGAGAGCAAGTTTTATTTAACCTTGCTCTCAGACGAAACTCAATTTTTAAATTTTTTTATTAAAACAATAAATATTACAAATGAATAAAGAATGAAGAAGTAAAAAAGCAAACATTTTTAAGAAATTCTGAATTCATCGATGTACCTTATATTTAATCAAGCTTTGCTTAGCTACTTAACTAACTAATGCAGCTCAAACCATTCCCTTCTTTACTATACAACAAAAAAAAACGGAAGATATATTGCAACTATTAACGCAGCTAAATATAACAAAAAAGGAGGGCAAAATAAAAAAGTAAAGAATCCTTATGGCCTTCTTTTATAAATAGAAATAGCTGAGTCGCAGCATATTTTGTGTCTCCACTCCCTTCAACCACGCAACGTTGTCGTAGCCCGAAATTAAGTACGTAGCTAAAGAAAGCAGCGAGAAACAATGAGGCAATGTGGTAAGGGGGCAAGGAGGCAAAGAGTCTGGCTTGGACAGCGAACGTTGCTACCAAAAATTGAGAAATTACATGCTGTGAAATAGCTGGGGAATTGATTTTGTTGGTGGCTGTTCGCTGTTGCTGGCGACGTCTTTACTTAAAAAAAAAAGCAACACCAAAAAAAAATCGACTCATTTCTCAAGTAAATTGCTAGGAAATTTTTATTTATTGGGGATTTTCATGCAACATGCAACTTGCCAGCGACTCATATTGATTTTCCCAGAGCAATTACTTGCCTCTACACATATTTTTGCCTTATGCACATTAGCATTTTCTTATAGCCACTGCTGCTGATCCAAAGACACGCCTGATTAACTTGCATTGCTTGGTAAATATCTCAGAAATTCAAATATTTACCAAATTGATTATCATTTAATTATAATAAGGCATAATGTCCAATGCAATTTCACTGGCATCCATCTTTGCAGCATGTGTGTGTATGCGGTTGTGCGTGTGTGTGTGTGTGTGTGTGTGCAATTATAATGGCCCTGGCCGCAAATGTAATGCATACTGTGAGGAACATTTCCTTGCAACCGGAGAAACGGCAGCAGCAACTGCTCTTTCTCACTATCGCTCTCCTTCTCTCTTTTTGCGTGTGTGTGTGTGTGTGTGTGTGTATGTGTGTGCACATGGCATCAAATTACAAATCATGTTGAGCCCGAGGGGGGCTACACGGAACTAGAGGAGGCGTTTGACGGAGGACCAATGCTTTGTGGCCTGCCAACGGAAGTAGAAACAGATGCAAATGGCAGTTAGGAGTGAGTACAAAGTCGTGTGTGTTTACTGAGTGTGCGTGTGTGTGTGTGTGTGTGTGTGTGTGTGTGTGCGAGTATGCATGCCTGCATGTTTTGGCTAGGCAGCATGAAAAACAAAACAAGTCACTAATGTTCCATTCACACATTTGAGCCTACACACGCACACATTGTATGAACAATTGACACTGGCTAATTGCACTGGAAAATCCGTTAAATGCAACCATAACCATTTTGGTCCCGTTTTATTTTATTACACTGCAACCAGTTGGATTGTTAGATGTGATTTGTGGCCAAGTTGCAAATTTTATACGAAAAGTTCTATACTCATTCGTGCAATTACACTGTACGAATGCACTTAAGCTGCAAGGATTGTCCATTAACTTTAATTAAAGCTACCATCTACGTAATTTACCGAAAACTTGCTGTTAACTGTTTAAGTTTGAAAGGAAAATAATTGAATACAAAACAGCCATACGAAAAAAATCAAGTAAAAATGTTTCGAATGGGACCAAATGGCTGCAAAAACTCAAATTATTTTTGTTGATTAAGAACACATTTTTTTTTATTTTATATAGAAATCTCTCTTCATGCCTTTGAGCTTGAACACTCTTTATTGAATCTGATAATGGAGTGCATTTAAAAAGAGTTTAATTCAGAATCAGACTTTGTGCTCTCTAATATTGAATTTCTTTTTAATTTATTCAATTTTGAAAAACTGTCTGACAAATAGAGGTTAATTCTGAATCTGACTTTGTGCTCTCCAATTTATTGTATTTCTTTTTAATTTATTCAATTTTGAAAAACTGTCTGATAACATTTTTGGACATAATACGATAATGAAATAATGTCATAATAACGTGTGTAATACTGACGTCAATAAGCTCTAAAAGTAGTCTAACAAGTTTCCAACCAAAAAAGCCAGAAGCGGCTTTTAAGCCACACTATTTTAAAAGGCTGGCAACGCATGTTGTTGTTGTTGCTGCTGCTGCCAGGCTAATTAACAAGCCGAGAATAAATTACGAACATTGCATTTGAAAAATGCAACAGCACCGCGAGCTGTGCGTGGGTTGACTGGGTGACTGAGGGTTGGAGTGGTGCGGTGCGGTGGTGCGGGAGTTGCGTCAAAATGAAGCTAATGCTCTGAGCACACAGCACACGAGCAATGACATTTTTGTTTGGGCGACGCTCTGGTTGTGCAAAACAATTAAATGCATGCAGGCCTGCCTGCCTGCCTGCCTGTCTGCCCGTCTGTCTGCCTGCTTGCCAGCCCACATGGCGTATACGCAATGGGCCGCAGTGCGATGAACGCACATTAAGCATTCGTCCCATGTACCGTTGCATGCGACATGTTGTCAACGTTTTAGAAAATTTGTTATGCAAATTGCTTATTAACTTTATGACTGGCTGTCGATCTGTCGCTACTAGCAAATGTTCAACATTTTCAATTGTCAATTAGCTGCGGATACCATAAACAACCAAAATCCGCTGGAGTATGCCATAAAACACAGCGCATTTATTTAAACATTGTGTGGGCGTAAAGTTCATCGACTCGCATTAAATGCACATAAAATAGCCTGGCTTCGATTTTAATTTATGTGCCACCGATTTACCTGTGCAATTTTACTGTGCACCCAGATAGCAAGGGAAAGGAAAAGAGAGAGAGAGAGAGATGGAGAGAGAGAGAGGGAGAGAAGCAGTTCCTAGTGCCTAGGGCCTGGCTTATGGCCAGAGTCTGGTGGGCCTGCTAATGACATTGCCACTATCATCAATGGCCTTTAGTTTAATTGAAAAATTTCATTTTGTGTTAGCTAATGGCAGCTGTGTAATTTATGATGCCAGCATGCCAGGAAAGGAGCCCATTTGCTACCGCTATTGTTGTTGTTGTTGTATCTATACTCAATGTTGGCTATTTCCCACTGGGTGTTGCTGCATTTCTATAGTTTCATTTTAATTAACCAATGGCTGCAACAACCTATATTATTTCTGTTGCTTAAGTAAGCGTTGTGTTTTAATAATTTACTAAGGATCTACCAAAATTCTTGCTGAGTAAACTCTCTTACTGATTTGAAGCTTAAACTCTCTTTATTAAGTGTGTATATCATGCAGTCGTAATTTAAACAGGGCTTCAATCTAATTACGTGTTGTAGATCTTCAGATCTCAAAGATGGAAGTTTAATCAATCAATAAGTCACAAAGATAGTCCAACAAAGCGAATCGTAATTTTCAAGTTTAATTTGTTATACTTTTATGTACCCAAACTGAGATATGCATATCAATTCTTAGAATATTATATCATATTGACAGATAAGTTTGTATCACAGTATACTTAGCATCAGTTGAGTTTAGTTTCGTATATTTCTAGAACTCAGAAATGTCTAAGAACTCAGAAGTTCAAAACTGCAGCAGGTCGCCAAAGTAAATGTCCCAACAACGACAACAACAACAATAACAACAAGTGGGTTTAATTAAAGTGAAGCAGCTGAAGCAACCGTAACTAAAGCATTCGCAGAAAGAAGGGCACAAAAGGAGCTGGAGTGAAAAATACATTGTGCGTGCACTGTGCGTCGAGGCGTGAATTTGAAGTGAAGAGTTTTGTTTAGCGGTTTTTGCTGCCATTTTGCACGCTTCCATAATTCGTATAACCTTTGTTTTGTTTGACTTTGACGGGTGTGCCTTGAAGCGGACTTGGATAGGTCCCAACTGCTACTGCTGCTGCTGCTGCGATTTTTCACTCACTGCATCATTTGATAAGCAAATATTTATTTTTTTTTATGAAGTCAGCTTAGTTTGTGGCTGCAATCGCTATGCCAATTTGCATTGCATACAGGTTATGCTGTGCAATAGAAACAACAACAAAAGAGATACTCGCATGTTATGCTTTCATTAAATGAACGCAACGTGTTCTCGTGCTGGAAGTCAGTTTTCATTTTGCTTACTAATCGGCTACACAGTTCTTGACTTAAAGTTGACGGCAGGCTGGTGCCTGGTTATCCTTCTGCCCGTTGCACCTGCTGCTGCTGCTGCTGCTGCTTCTGCTTCTGCTTCTGCTGGCACGCCGTCGAAAATTGCTGCAACATTTTTGGCTGGCATGTTGTCGACATTTTTATGGTTGCTGAAATTCTTTGGGTCCTCCTCGCTGTGCAGACATTGCCTGCCACTTGGTAGCCCAATTAAAAGTTTTAGCACATTTTCACTTGAAATTAATTGTCGGTAAACGTAATTCATGTCCGAGACACGAATGCGAAAGCAGCAGCAGCAGCCCCGACAACACCAACAACAACAGCAACAACAACAATGTCAGCAAAAGACATGAACCACATTTTTTGGGGTGTCGCTCTCGTAAGTGTTGCCAGGGCGCACCAATACACACACACACAACAGCTTGCCCCTGTTGTGTTGCATACTGATGTGCACTAATGTGATTTGAAGCACTAAAAGTATCCCAGCGTTTATAATAATGATCAACGTAATATTGCAAGTGGAAATCAAAAATTGTAGCTTAAGTTGCCAAATAGTAATTTTCAAATAATTATTGTGAATAAATACAAATTGAAATTGGTAATTAAAGTGGGCTGTTAAAAATATTTAATTAAAAATTATTTATCAAATAAGCATTAAATCATAATTAATTTTAAATTATTGATATTATTTTTATTACTATTATGTGATTTACTATATTAAATACAGCTCTCAGAAGTGAATATCTCTCTGTGGCGGCTATTATCAATTCAACTCTACTCGAATAGCAGCTTAATTAAAGAACTTAACTTTTAGTTATGTTTTGGATGAGGTAGCAACAAAATGCGTATGCAAAACTGCAATTAAACTAAAAGCAAGCAAAACAAGAAAACAACGCAAATGCGCATCGA